AATTGGACATACGCTCTGCCTGCAACAGAAACACGAACAGATGCAAAGCTTCAAAGTAGTTAAAGCAGACACAAGACAGATGATCCTGGCTATATAGACTCTGCTTGATAAATGCTGATCGGGAATATATATATAACTTATGGACGCGGACATGTCTACAGCCAAGCGAATCATTTCGTGACAAAAAAAAAAGCAAATCTCGCAGCTTTGCCTTTTGGTCGCTCGCAGGAATTGTCGTCCTATAAACTGGACGCAGTGCAGCAGCCTTTGCTCAGGGACTTACAGGTAACGGGGGGCGGCAGCTGTTCCAGCCGTCTGTCCAGTGTCTCCAGGCTGCTGTTCTCGATCAACTGATCGAGTTCGCGTCGTCGCGCATTGCGCAGCAGCTGCATTTGATTGAGGATCGCCTTGCGCTGCTTGGACTGGGCACAGAACAGCGGACGTGCGCGCTGCAGATGATCCTGCAGCGACAGCGACTCCGGCAGAATTTCGCTCTCATCGCCATTGGCACTGAACTGTATGACATACGCAATGCCGCGCGGTCGCACCTGCAGCATTTGCTGGCGCTGTTTCTGCTCCTGCTGCCGATGTGCCCCGGAGGAGCTGGTGCTGCGCTGCGTGTGAAGACGGCGACGATGGCACAGTTGCAGCTGCTGGTGGCATGCCACATCGTCGTATTGATGCGTTGTTGTTGTTGTCGTTGTCGTCGCCTCGCAGGCATTCACCATGCTCATGGGTATGGACATCTCCGAGCTGATGCACAACATGGACGATGTGGAGCTCGTCGCCCTGCAGCTGTTCTGTGAACCAGTTGTTGTTGTTGCCGCTGCTCCTCCTCCGGTTGCTCCTTCTCCCGCTGCTGCGGCAGTTGTTGTCATCGTTTTTGTTGCAACTGTTGCCGCCTCGACGGCATGTTGCACGTAGCAGGGCGCGCCGTGGGAGTTCACGACCTGGTAATAGACGGCACCTTCATCCACGCAGCCGTACACATTGCCCGTCGTCTGCGCGTACTGCATTTGCATATATTGTTGCTGTTGTTGTTGAGATTGCTGTTCCTGATGCTGCTGGCATGGGCGCTGCTAAAGCGAGACAGAGAGAGAGAGAGAGAGAGAGAGAGAGAGAGAGATATGATATATGATGATTCCATGAGCATACGATTTTTCTCAGGATATGGTAAAAGCAAAGAGAGAAAGAACTCTGTCGTACTTCCTCCTTTGATTAAACATAAGCTTAAATAATTCTTTCTTTCGAACTAATTCATTTACATTTTCTTTTAGTTTTCAAGTTTACCGTTTAGTTCTAGTTGCCAAATTTGGTGTACCTAGCTCTTATAGATCTCGAGTTATGCTTAAAAGACCATGCCTGAAAATCGATATTTATCGATACTATACAAATCGGGCGAGTTAACGAAAATAAATTTAAAATCGATATGCATCGGAAGTACGAGGAGAATATATATACTTTATATATTTCAGACGGACAAGGCTAGATTGACTCGGATATTCCCTTTGTTATGGATCGGAGAGCATTCCTATTCGATATTTATCGATACTGCTAAGAATCGAGTGAGATAACGAAAGGAAATTTAAGTTCGTAATGAATATAAACTTATTATAAGTTTCAAGACGCTCTCTTCACGCACGCAGACGGACCAGGATATATCGACTCGGGCAGCGACCTTTCGTTATGGATCGAAGAGAATTCCTATTCGATATTTATCGATCGAAATTATAAGTTTGCTGTACAAGTCTCTCCCACAGACGGACAGACGTCCCCCTATAAGGGCTTCCAGCTGCCAGTTGAATAGTTGTGTAAGTTAAGAGCAACTCTCGGAAAGGCAACCTGCTTCCAATTGAATAGAATTGTTGTGTTCATCACGAATTGAAAGCTTACCATATGGCACGTGGCAAGCAACGGATGCTGCAGCTGCTGCTGATGCTGCTGATGCTGGCGCTGGATGAGCTGCTGTTGCTGCTGCTGTTGATGTTGCTGCAGCAGGAGCAGCTGCTGCTGCTGCTCCAGGCGCTGCTGCTGCTGGTTCTGATAGTGGGCCATGAACTGGCGCTGTCGTTGCTGGACAAAGGAGCAGACGCTCTCGCTGCTGCCTGAGTGGCTCGGTGCCGGCGTCGCCATTTTGCTGCGCGGCAGCAGCCTGCTGGCAGGCGATGCAGCTGGCAGTGGAGGAGCAGGAGGAGGAGGAGGTGGTGGAGGAGGAGGTGCTGCTGTTGGCGCTGGCGGCGCCGGACGCCGCACAACTGCAGCCGAAGACAGTGCATTGCCCTCCGCTGGCGGCGGCACTGCATCCGCAACGGCGTCCATTAGCTGGATGGGTATACGCACACCCTTATCGGGTGGCGGAGCCAGCATGATGCCCTTGGCGGCGCTGCTCAAGAGATTCTGCAGCGTGCGTAGGCGGCTTATCTCCGTCTCGATCCAGTCCAGCTGTGTGCGCCGTTCCTTATCCAGCTGGCCGCGCTGCTGTCGCTGTTTCTCCTCGTAGTCAATCTCGCTCTGCGTCATCGGATTCAGCCACTCCTGCATGGCTGCCTGCTCGTCCGTTGTGGCTGGTTTAGTCTGTTGATTGGTTTTCTGTGTGACCAGCTCGTTGGAGGCGCCGCTGCTGGTCGAGGCATAGCTGCACGGCAGCGGCGATTGCGTGGGCGTGCCCACGCGCGTTCTAGGCGCGGGCACGGGCACGGGCACGGGAGGCGGCGCAGCAGGAGCAGCAGTCTGCGCCGCAGGGTGCACAGCAGCCGGCGTCAGCAGCTCCGGCGAGAGTATGAGGCATCTTTTGCTCGTATTGGTCGCCGTGTCCTTGCGCAAAGGCAGACTGTGTCTTGATAGCTCTGCAAGGAGAAAATATGCATATTAATGTCTGCGCTGGCTGGACACGTTACTCGGAGATGCCTCCTGTAGCTACAGACCGCACTCACCCTTGGGCTTGTCATTTGCAGCGGGCAGCGGCTGCTCCTTGGGCTGGCTAACGGCCTTGCTGCGCCTGGAGCTGCGGCTAGAGTCGGCGCGACTGTTGCAGCTGCTGCTGTTGGCGGCCAGATCTAGGCAGGCGAGTCGCTTGGCAATGTCGCGTATGAGCTGCTTTTTCTGTAGATGGCTGAGGCTGCGCTTGCTGACCAGGGAACAGAGCAAATCGATGCCCAGATCCAGATCGCATTTCACCGGCGGGCTGGACGAGACGCTCGACGAGGAGACGGCAGGGCTGGGCTGCGGTTGCGGCGGCAGCGGCGGCTGTTGATTCTCCTTGTTCTGGGCGCGCGTCATGTGGCGACGATTGCAGAGCACCTGCTCCAGTTGTGCGGTATACGCGCGCTCCTGACGCTGCTGCTCCACATGACGCAGCAGCTCCTCGGCGCTGAGCGCCTGCCGATTGCAGCTCCCGCTGCTGCTGTGGCTGTTGCTGTTGCTCTGCCCGGTGGATGGCCGCGAATTGTGATGATAATCGAAGCTGCTCACCGCGGACGTGGCGCAGGATTCGCGACGTGAACTCTGGCTGGGCACCGGCGTCGGCGTTGGCGTTGGCTGGCTGGATCTGCGGCTGGAGTTGACAAAGGTGCTGGAGGCAAGCGGCGGCGCCGGCGCCGGCTGCGGCAGCTGCTCCGCCGCCTGCAAACGATTCAGATCGGATTCGGAATGATTGGAGCGCTGGACAGTCGCACGTTGCGCGGCCGGCTGCATGGCCGCCTCCAGCACGGAGCGTTCCAGCGTGCTTATGTTACTGGCGGAGGCGGCGCGCTGACAGCGATAACCCACATCGGCGGCGGGATCCCATTCGAGGCGTTTGTGCGATTTGAGCGCCGATTCCGGTGTTTGGGTTTTGCGCGTCTGCATCTGCGGCGTCGGCGTTTGGGTGCCTTTGGTGGGCGTGCGCAGATCCTCAACAGACGCGCACGCATTGCGTCCCGTCTCCATGACAATGGGTATCTGCTTAACGTGCTCAGCCGCCGGCATTACGCGTTTCTTTTGCTTTCTAATGCAGGCCATGGCAGCTGCGCAGGCAGCTGTTGCAACCCCTATGCTGCCGCTGCCGCTGCCGGCGCAGGCGCCGCCGCCGCCGCCGCCGCTGCTGCTGTGCGCGCCGACGCTGATGCTGCTGCTGGCGGGTGATGTCGATGATAATGCCATGAAGCGTTGCAGCTCCAGTTCCCGCTCGTTGGCCATTTCAGCCAGATATTCTCTTATTTTGGGCGTAATGCGCGATGTGTGCTGTATTTTTCTATCATTATATTGCTTTCTATTTGTACTGTTATTGCTTGACATAGTTCTATACACACATTGCTTGTGCCGATGCCGATGCTTGCTTTTTGAATTTCGAATAACATCCACACACAAGTGCGAGCAGGCACGCAATGGCATATGGGGAGCGCCAGTGTGTACACACTAGCTAAAAGTGTGCAGTGTGCAACTATATACAACTATATACATTTGCACACATTTACTAACATTATGTTAAACTCAAAATGGCACTGATAAATTTAAATTGTATTCACGGTTAATTATATGGAAGGCGCGCTTAAATTGTGTTTTGTAAATTTTCGCATAAAGCATATGATTAGGTATACACACATGAAGAGCATTAAAAAGCCTTTTTGCAAAGACTTAGATACACAAAATAAGAAGAGCATTAAAAAGCCCTTTGCAATTGCTTAATCTGAAAACATTTTCCTTAATATTAGACATACATAAATGCCAGACATGTTCGACTCTCTAACAGTTTTTTATGGTGTGTACATATTTTAGTTTTTCTTCGCTTGATTGCCTCAAATTGCTGTTTGCTATAAAACTTGCCGTGCAACCATGTAAAGCTGCATTTAAAAAACGGACTACATTTTGAAAAAAATTTCAATACACTAACTTAATGTTATCATTTACAAAAAGCTTACAAAACATTGTTTTTTTAAAGGGAAATAATTGAATAACATTTGATTATATTTAAACATCTATCCGAACTTTATTTATATAGCGTTTAACGTAGATAATTATTGTTTTGGGCGATTGTTAGTTAATGATATATCATGTACATAGTTGTCATTGGGAGCAAGGGTATTCTGTTTGCAACACGATAAGCGATAAATGCAAATAGCGATCGATTATAACGCAACGATCGATCCACGAATTCGGACCCCTAAACAATTAGGAGCGGGAAGTACATCTATATAACAGATTGGAACAAATGTAAACAAAAAAAAAACCGTACACCTATTATCGATTCATGCTTACGGTAATACCCCTAGCACAATTATTTTTGTGTTTTTCTTTTTGAATCTATATCGCTAAATACAGACATCTAAAAAGCACATGATGTGAATTTCAAATTCAATTTAAAAATTTTTAAATGCATTGATGTAACAAAATTCTATATATATATATATGATGATTAGTTGTAGCTATTGTATGCATATAAGGCCTGCCCTAAAATTAACGCAGGTGTGTGTGTGTGTGTGTGTGTTTTTTTGGTGCTTGCTGAGACCGTTTTCTTTGCAGTTCCTTAAAAGGCTTTCCTTTTTGTTTTGTTTGTTTTTGTTGTTGTTTTTTTTTTTTTTTGTTGGAATAGGATTCTATGGCCACCGTTTTAATTATTATATCATATAATAATCTGAGTTTCCAACACAATGTTGAGAGCGAGAGCAAAAAAAAAAATGACTAGGCCGACGTAACAACTACACCACCAGCTGGTTCTACGGTGGGGGAGTGGGGAGCAGGGAGCAGGGAGCGGGAAGCGGGGAGCAGGGAGCAGGGAGCAGGGAGCGGGAAGCGGGGATTGTGTATGCTCAGCGCATTTGGAGCTGTCGCTGCTGGCCGCGATCATAGAAGAGTAGATAGGCGGGCACGCTGAGCACCTCATCAATGGACACCTCCCGCACAATCGTGTCCGACGTGTAAAACCATCTGCAAAATTGGGAATTTGGATTTGGCAAATATGATTAATCCTCTCTCCACTCCTCGACGGCCAGCACTTACCGATGCGCATTGCGCAGCGAACCACGTCGATAGGTAACAAAATGTCCACTGTTTGCCTCACCCGAATGCACCACAACCGCCAGCAGGCGGTAGAGGTTTTTGGGAAACATCGCACCGAATCCCTCGCCGCCGGCGCCGCCGCCGTTGTTCATCGGCAGGCTGGTGGAGTACAGCGACATGGTCGAGCCCCAAGGAGTGCCCGCCTGCGAAGAAATCACAAGTGGTTAACATGAAAGTGCTGGCGGGAAGTGCTCAGCGAGAATGTGGCCTAAACCCAGAGACAAGCTGTCAAAATGCAAACTTGAAAAAGTTCGGCTCTTATAGTCCGATCTTGGAATACAAAAATATTTAACTAATGCTCAGCTAGGATGTACTATGACCATTGATTCCGATCCATCTATATATCTACACATATACGAACTCGGAGCTGCCTCCCGCTGCCAGTTCTTGAAGCCATATTCTCCGGTTTCAGGGCACAAAATATTGGCACACTCACCTGACTGTTCAGATGGGGCTGGACAAAGCTGTATGGCGCCATGGAGAGGCTCTCCGGAAAGTGGACATAGTCCTGACGCTTGCACACCTGCCCGGTGGGCAGCCAAACGGTGCGCGCAATGTGTATGCAGAGACAGGCCGGCAGCTTGGCAAAGGTCACGGATTTGGTGTGCATGGTTGTCTCATTGCATGAATCGCACTTGACATCGCTCAGATCCTCGGAGGTGATATACTCGCTCAGCAAATGGCCCAGGCTCAGGCCGGAGCGCCGTTGTGCCGGCAAATTTAAGGTGACGCTATCGAATTTGTCGTAGCGCACGGCGGACTTGGAGCCGCAGCCATTGCAGACAATTTGTGCGCCCATGGCGCCTTGAAACGGATGCGCCACCTGGCTGGGCATCATGCTTGACCAGATGGAGACGCGTCCGGGTCCGCGATTGAGACGCTCCAGCGAGCGGCACGAGCTGGACACGCGTCGATTGAGGCGTTCGCTGTGATTCTCCTGCTGCTGCTGCAGCTGCAGCTGCTGGGTCTGGGCCTGGGTTTGGCGCGGACGCGACAAGCGCTCGCCGCCCAGTATGGGTGAAGCGGGCAGGGGCTGCGTTTGCGGCTCCATAAACTCCATGGCCGATTGATAGCTAAACGGCGAATGGGCCAGATAGGAGGCACCGCCAGCCGACGGCGTCAGAATTTCGGCTGTTTCGCGTTCGCACACCGAGGCCGGTGAGTCGGGCGTGTGCGCCTCGGAGCGCACCAGACGCTGCAGGCTGGTCGACTCATCGTACTCCATATTGAGAAAATCCGAGAGCATGGCACTCGATGGCCGATTCGGCTGATCTCCAATGCGCTGCTGGACACCGGCCATGTTGCACGTGCGATAAGCAGCAGCTGCCGCTGACGCAGCACCAAAACCATCTCCGGTATCATTGCCATTGCCACTGCCGTTGTTCGGATTGATGCCAGCGGCAACGGGCAACAGTGCGTCCGACAGGCAGCCCACTTGTTGCGGCCGTGTTGCCTCCTCCTCCAGCGACGAGAGCAGCACATGGAACAGCTCGTGGGCATCGTGCTCCTCCTGCGGTATGACCCAGCCCAATGTGTTCAAGGCGCGCAGCACAGCGCCCGGTGAATGGGGATCACCGCGCAGCGTCGCATGCGTGCCATTCACCACCTCCAAGGTGCTCAGCATCGAGCTAATCAGGCTCTTGCGATCCGGCGTCGCGCCATTGTACAGCTGCAGCCAGGCAATGAACTGCGGACAGGCAGCCAGCGCCTGCAGCAATGTGTTCAGGAAACAGGTGCGTCCAAAGTTGTGGAGTCCGGCGATTTGGCCGCGACGCTGACGCAAGCGGGAACCTGCGTGTGTGTGTGTGTGTGTGTGAGTGGCCAGTGTTGCACAACTGTGTGTTTTGGATGCACTTACCCGATGGTCCCCAGAAGACAAATGCACCAACAACCGCGGCGACCGTAACACCGGCGGCCATCAAAATCTTCTCACTTTCCATGTTTTGCAGGAGGTTTGTGCTCTGGGCTATGGGAACGGGAGGGGCGGGCGGGCGTTGCGCGCACACACACACACACAGCTACTGGTACTACAACATCGATTGGCATTAACAACAAACACACAACACTTGGCGAATTATAGTTATTTTTCGTGCTTTTTATTAGTGTGTGTGTCTGTGTGTGTGTGTGTTTGTGTGTGTGTGTGTGTGCTTGTGTATGTGATGATTGTGTGTCTCTTTGTAACCGCAGCTGTTCGTTTTTCTATAACAATATTAACATTAGCCTGAAAAAAAAAACCTAAAATTCTTCTATACTATTGTGTCTGTCTGGTGTCTGATGTTTAGTTAATGGTGCTGCCACACTGTCGAAGAATGCGCTTAGCTCCTGCCAGACTGTTTATGTCTTGCCTTTGGCGATATGGCAACGCCGCGCACGTCAGCCTGGTATACTGCTAACCAGAGACAGCGAACAAAGCAAGCCAACATACAAAACTTAAGCGATACAGCATTTATTCGTAAAAGCCATAACTATTTTGTGTGCGTCGCAGTCAGTTAACGAACAGCTGTTTGAAAGAGTTAAATAATTAATAATTAAATTGCAAATAGCAACGACTTTTACGCCTGGCTAGCTGATCAATTTTGCTTGCAGTGGAGCTGCATATGCGCCCTATTCTCGAATGTTGTGGAACATCTGCAAGCGAGCAACAACAGCAACAACAATAACAACACAACAGAGCAAGCACAACAAACAAAGGTGGCCTGCGTTAGTTCAATTTGAAATTTGTACATTCATAACATTATTACTCACATTACAATTTGGACGTCGTAAGCGCGACAAGCGTACGGTTAAAATAAAATGCTTTAAAATTGTGGAAAACGTGTTTAAAAAATAAAAAACCTAAAAAAATTCGTATAACAATATTAAATTAGACGTGCAAGTTCTATTCAAGCAATACAAATTTTCGAAGAATTCAGTTCCTAACGGTGGTAAGTCTAATTGCTCTGCGCATTCTGTTGTTGTTGGTTTTTGTTCGCATTCTGTGTAAATTTTCGAATTGTTACAATTATTCTCCCATCCCTATGCCCAGCCGCCCAATCACAACGTCCTTGTGTCCATTTCACAATATTCTCTGCATATACATGTATATGTATGTATATGCACACACACACACATGCACACGCACACACAGCTGCTGCGCAATAAACGAATTCTTTTCGTTTCTGTTTTCATAGGCTGCTTTATTAGCGCCTCTTTGTTTATGTCGCCACTTCGCTGCGCGTCAGCCGTTGTGCAATGTTCTACGCTTTTCCGCGTTAATTTTGGAAACTGTGTCAGCCGCCACAAATTGAAATTGCAAGATTTTCCTATATATACATGTAGATGTACGTAATTCTGTAGATTTATTTCGTTTTATCTGGGCTAGCGATTTGTCTTCCCTTTGCTGTGAGTGCGTGTGCGTGCGTGCATGTGTATGTGTGTGTGTGTAAGGTGGTTGCTTGCTTTGTAACTGTCTTTGTTGTCTCTCGCTCGCACACGTACACACACACACACACACACACACTCGCACACATTTAACGGTTATTGGCTTGCATTCATTTTGAACGTCGCATTTTGTCAGCCTTGGAGGCAGCTGACCCTGAAACAAAGCTGAGCTCTGCCCGCTTTGGAAAGCTCTTTGTGTTTCCTTTTGCTCGCGGAAGCAAATACGCAATTGCAACGAATAAGGAAAAACACGCTTACATTTCCATATTTGCAGAAAACCAGTTGCACGACAAAAACAACTCGAGAGCAAGATCAAACCAATCAGCATATTTCCAATTGGAAAACTCGAATTTGCAGTCTAAAATGGACGCCAAAGAGGACAACAAACAGCAGCAGCAGGAGCAGCCCACACGGAACACGGATGTGCCAATGCGCACGGACAGCGAGAGCTCCACGGATAGCACAATGCGCTTTGTGCTGCCCAGCCTCGATGGCAGTCCGCCAAAGGTGGTCACCATGGACGAGGTGGCCGGCATGCTAAAGGATCTCAAGAACATGGAGCTGGCGCATGAGATAGCGCTCAATCCGGAGTTCAAGCTGCAGCCATACGAGCCGCCCCTAGACAGGTGAGTCATGCAACTCTCTGTCTCTCTCTCTCTCTCTATATCTCTGTTCCGCATCCACTCATGCTGTTTGAATCTCTATCTGACAGCCTGGAGGGTCGCATTAAGGCCATGGTGCACAAGGCCTTTTGGAATTTGCTGCGCGAGCAACTGGAACGTGATCCGCCCTCTTATGATCAGGCCATACGGCTGCTGGGCGAGATCAAGGAGGATTTTCCGCAGCTGCTCTCGCCGAACAATGCGAATGCATTGAGCCGCATCAATGCTACCCTGGACGAGGCTCTAATCCGCCAGCAGGCGGAGCAGGGCACCCTGGACTTTCGATCATACGCCAATTTTGTCATCCAGCTGCTGGCGAGCATGTGCGCGCCGGCACGCGATGAAACGGTGGCCAAGCTGCGCGAAATCGATGATGTTATCGATACATTCCGGGGCATTCTGGAGACCATGTCTCTGATGAAGCTGGACATGGCCAACTTTATGGTGTCCGCGGCACGCAACGATATTGCGGCCAACTCTGTGGAGTATGAGAAGCGAAAGTTTAGCACATATTTGCGCGAATTTCATGGAAATGGTGCGTATGCCCTGTGGGTAGAGAGGTTGAGGGATAGATAGATAGAGAGGCAGCGAGATAGAGGAAGAGAGAAAAAGAGATAGAGAGAGAGAGAGAGAAAGCGGTAGAGGCACAAAAATGAGTCAATCAGTTAGTCTGTCAATCTGTCAGGACAGACTCAAATGAGTCAATCATTCAGTCAGTTATTCAATCAGCCTGTCAAGCAGCCAAGATTCACAAAAGTAAGTCAATCACTCAGTCAAGACATATAAAACTGAGTCAATCGATCAATCAATCAGTAGTCAAACAGTCAAGTCACATTAAAAGGCGTCAATCACTCGATCAATCAATCAGTAGACAAACAGTCAAGTCACACTGAAAGGCGTCAATCACTCGATCAATCAGTTACGACAGTCAGTTATTCAATCAGTTAATTTGTCAAACAGTTAGGAAAGTCAAGTCAATCAGTCTGTCGGGACACTTAAAAGGGAGTCCATCTGTCAATCAACTAGTCATTCAATCAGCTGTTGAAGCAGACTTGAGTCAATCAGTCAATCAATCTTTGGATCTGGCAAATGTATTTTATTCCTCGGCACTCGAAAGAAAAATAATTGTTTTCTTGTTTGCAGTTGGCTTTCCGGCCACTGAGGATTGGCTGCAGCGTCATCGGGCCGGCTGCAGCAGCAATGATGACATCATCTTCAATGCGTTCAGGCAGCTGCTCAACTATCCGGCGGACAAGGAGTTTCCGGAGCTGCTGAGCATCGATAAGGAGCGCTTCGGCGGTCTCAGCTGGCGCGGCCAGCGTCTTATACTGTGCGCCTCGCTCATCTCGATAGCGCAGGGTGTGCCGGTCATATCGCAGCGACGCGAAAATCGCGTCAAGCTGGCCCAGCAGCTGGACATCCTTGTCCAGGACGTGAAGCGCGAGGAGTGAGTACAACGCCCAAAAATGCCCCCACTTGCTGTCTCCTTCACTCAGACCTCTGCTTTTATCGCCCGTACAGCCAACTGAGCGCCGCCCTCGACGGCTGCTACGAGCAGATACGCGCATTCATCAACAAAGCGCTGGAGAACGAGCAGCTGCCTCCGCTCAGCGAGCCGCAGCAGGCGCAGATCCAGACCCAAGTCCAGCAGCTGGTCAACAAGACGTCGCCCGTGCGCACGCTCATGGGTAAAAAGACAACTTCTCATTATGCCCTGGCCGGGCGAATACTTCGCCCATGTCGCGCAATAAGCAACGCTTAGCAGATGATATTGAGTCCATAAACTATATAAATGCGGAGTCTATGCAGCCACGCCCATCTGTCTGTCTGTTTCCATGCGAGCTACCCCCCTCTCTCTTCTACCCCAATGCAAGTGCTTGGGACTTTGCAATACTCTTCTTGGTAGAACTTTTCATTACAATTTGGATCATATGGTAGGAAAAACCGAAACCTGATTTAAAGTATGTTAAAGAAAGTATTTACGAACTGAAACTCTAGGCAGGGCGCAGGTCGCAGGTTCAAACCATAAACCAAACCGAATGAATGTATTTACGGACTTGCAAGACTATTTTTAGTAGAACTTTTCATTACAATTATGAAAATTCTATAAGGTTACGCAAAAGCTGAGCTTAAGTTCATGAACTGAAGTTCTGGGCAGGTCGCAGGTTCGAACCGTTAACCGAAGCGAATGAAAGTTAGCTACTTAAAAATATTGAACATATAGGAAAAGCCAAAGTCAAAACCAAGAACGTGTAAACGAGTCGAACCTCAAGGTAGGGCGTTGATTCGAACCGGTTACCGAACCAGCGACCTTTCTTTACGGGTTTTTAGCGTTGCTGCTGCGAACAATTTTCGGCCAGGTCGAAGATAAGATGTTTATGTATTTGTTAACTCACCTGCTTTGCAAATTTTAGCCAATCGATTGGATGGATTTGTGCGCGTCGCGCTGCGCTCGAACGGCAACATACCGCCGCCGCCCGCCGGCTTTGCGGACTTTGAGGAGGAGCTGGTCGCCTTTATTGCCTCGTTCCGGCGTCTTGTCGGCTACAATCACGCCGTCTTCGGGGAATACTTTACCCAGCTGCTCAATGGCAAGCAGCCCGCGGTCGATGCCAACAACGGCGGCAGCAGCAGCACCAACAGCAGCAACACCGCCGGCAACAACAGCAGCAGCAGCAACAACAACAACAACAACAGCCTGGCAGCGACTGCTGCTGGCCTGGCCCAAACGGCCAAGCCTTAAAGCGAGCGAGCGAGAGAGCGATAGAGAGAGCGAGAGAGTGTGAGTGAGAGAGAGAGGAAGACGACGCCTGCTGGGGCTCATGCGTTGGAAGCGCAAATGTTGATGCATTAACTAGCTAAAGCCCAAAAACCCACGAGCCACAACAACAACAACAACAGCAACAACATGGACAACAACATTTGTTATGACACGCAAAACTGGCACAAATTCTGCGCAAGTCCTTAACTAATTAAGCCTAGCTAATAGCCAAATGCAACAGCAACAATTGTTAAACGAGTGCGCTTAGAGCCAAGTGCTAAACTAGGCCTAAGATAAAGCACCCAACACACACACACACACACGTTTGTGGGCTGCGTGCGAGAAGGAGGGCGTCTGTGATAAAAGTAAAAGCAAAGAAAAGCCAACGTTCAAGAAGAAAACGAACACAACACACAACTAAGCAAATAGCTAGCTATATTCGGGCCTAAATAAACATTAACAACAACAACAACAACTGACAAGAAGAATAACAACTGACAGCTGCTATTCGATATACAATATTTAAAACATCAGCTATATAATTATTTCTATTAAAACATAACCTTAATAAATTAAGAAAAAACAAAAAAAAAACCATCTGTATTAACATAAAAAAGCCACCATATTTAACATATTTACACAACTTATATATATATATATATATATATATATTTACATACCTGTACTAGCCGTAACTCGACTGTATTTAGTTGTTGGTTCTACATATTGATCCACCTGCGAAAATGTGCTAAGTTCTTAAAGCAAATTCTAAACATAGTTAAATAACTATATAAATATTTATACGCTTTTCAGTAAATCAAATCGAATGATGTGAGTAACAAAAACGCGCTAAGGCGACAAAGAAACGTGTTTGAGAATCGAATAGAGAGGCAATTGCATTGCGCCAGTGCGCCTTTTGCTGCTACATTAAAATTGTCCAGCCTTTTTAAATATATTGAAAACATTTTTTTTTTTTGTTTTGGTTTCTCACAAATTTCGAGAAATGTAAATTGCAAAATTAATTTATTAAAGAATCTGCAGAAAATAAGCAAAATTTAATTAAATTTAATTTAACAGCAAACACTGCTAATTTATATAAATATAAGTTTTATATTAAATGTTATTAAAAAAAAAAGAACTTGGTTTCTTGATTCTATTGTGTTATACGAAATGTGTGAATAGTTCTCTGTGGAATAGCTGCAATATAAGTGTGTAATTTTAATCAAAAATAAAACAAAATATCGTTCATTAAAAACGACAACAAAACCAAATGCTAATTTTTAATTTTTCAAAGACAAGCTTCAGCTTTAATAAAGAAATTTACTGGATGTATATATACTTAGCGAGATGTGCGAGTATAATAGGCTAGAGCTATCGAATTTCGATAACGATTCTAAGCGATTACTTCGAAACGGAGCCAGTTATCGAGATCGATTTTCATCGATATAATGGAAATGTGACGAGATATCGAAAAGCAAAGTTATAAACTCGTCTAACGTATGGTAAAGAAGAAAATATATGTCTAGCTACTTTCAATTTTAAGCAAAAAAAAAAAATAAATATCTTGCGCTGGATTTGAACTCGCACTGCTTTGTTCGGCAGGCAGTTGGCTTAAGCATAACGCCACCCAGTGGCAAGCCCGCCGAGCGCTTAAACGGCATTAATACAAATCGATTGGCAAATGATGAAATGTTGCGAACGCAGACTTGTTTCGACTAAGCCCAATAGAGGGCGGCATGGGCAAATGTCAAGTACAGCTTGGACGCCAACCGCAGCGATCGAGGCAAACACTTGTGCAAGGTTTGCGAGCGTTTGTGCTTAGTTGTGAATGGCGCTGGGTTGCTGCAGCCGCTAAATCAGATTGTGCGCATCCCGCGACGCCGCTCACTTATCGCTGACTGCAGTCAATTACAACACCAAAAAACCAGATCATACACACACACACATGCATAACGGCGCATGTGTGCGCCTGTGTGCGCATAATAATAATAAAGAGAAGAAGAATAATCACGCCACTTGCTGTACTTTGGCACTTGAGACGACGCGTCGCTGTCGACAGTTGATTGCGTTGCGCCCGGCCACGCCCTCTTCCGTTGCGCTTAACGCCCATCGCACTGGTTCAGCCTCAGCCTCGCTCTCTCTCTCTCTCTCTGTCTTTATATGCAGGCATGCATGCGTGTGTGTGTGTGTGTGTGTTGGTGTTCAATTCGAGGTTTGAGCATTTTTGTTGTTGTATTTTATGAGGCGCTGATAAGAAATCTGCGTCGTCTGCGTTGCCAACTGAATTCCCCCCCCCCCCCACCCCTTGCCCATTTCCGCCGTCTTGCTGGACTTCAGACGCTGACGTCGTCAAAAGCAGAGGCGTGCCGCGATGAGGGTGGAGGGGGGCTTGCGCAAAGTCCATTTCAAGCAAGTTCCCTGTTTCACTTGAGCTATGGAAATACGCACATCTTGCGCTCTGTGCCTCAACCCCCCTCCCCCCTCCCCCCTGCGAATTTAAAGTCCAATTGCGGCTCGAAAACCCGCTCGACCAGAACTTCCCAGTCAAGCATTGCGAGACGAAAAGGAAAAAAAAATGATATATGCAAAAAACAATCACACAAAAAAGCAAAAGTTTCCGGAGCAGACATGCGCGACTAAAAGATGCCCTGGCGACTGTGCGAAATTCGATAAAGCTCGGCGCTTGGAGTCCGATCTATTTGAATTATGGCCGCATATGTGAGATATCGACTTCTTCTTATCTTATGCTCATGAACTTCGCAGCTTAAGATACGATAATTTTTTTTAAATATAAGCTTAGGACACACAAAATACAGCTTCTTATGAGCTACCCCTTAAATCATTATTAGAAATCTATGTACTTCTTTTGAGCTTAGCTTAATGCACTTCGGAGCTTGAAGTACGATCTTTTTGAAAGAAAAAGAAAATCAAACTTCTTATGAGCTAACCTTAATGTCTAACCTCTAATATCTAACTCATCTAATCTTGGGTTAGCCTCGGAGCTTGAAGTCCGATCTTTTTGAAATATGGCCTAAAAAAAGCACAGATAATTTGTTTGCCCATGTTGATCGCAAGCTTGTTACATGCGAGCACAAAAAGTGTGCATGCCCTATGTTGGGCTGCACAGAATGTACAGGGTATGCGCTACTACACTCAAGAATCTGATCAGTCTGGCCGCGGCCGTCCGTTTTTGGGCAGCTGCCGCAGCTCACCATAATTATCGATGCCAGCCTCGAAGGCAACTGGAGAGACGGCAGCCCGTAAGGCATCCCAGCTAATGCTGTCGGGCATATAAATGAGCGAAAACGAAACTGGATACGGTTTGCTGGCGACTTTGCTCAGCCTCATTATCGACATTTCCGAAATTCTTTGGCATTTTGAAGAGTTGCCTTCCACACCGCCCCGACTCGCCCCGGATATTGGGCCCATTCGTTGCGCTATCTAAGGCCCCGGTCTATAAATAGAGCCGAACGCGGCGAAACACAATTGTTCAACTTCATATTCAATTGGCACTCCGGCACCTGGCACCCGCCACCCGCCACCCGGCACCAGGTGAGTCTTTGATAAGAAACCGATTCGTTGCCGTTCAATTTAATCACGAGCTAACAACGGTACACAACAAATTGAACACATTTTGCGCGTCATGCGGCTGGCAGCTCTACATCTAGATGTACTTGTGTGTGTCTTCATGTCTGTGTGTGCGTGTGTGTGTGTGTGTGTGTGTGTGTGTGTGTGTGTGTGTGCGTGTGTGTGTGTGTGTGTGTGGATAGTTGATATTCCAAAAGTAACATTGTTGTCAGCTTCCTAGCTCTTTGATCGTCAATCAGCCAGTCAGTAAGTCAATCAATCACCAGTCAATCAATCGTTCAGTGGGTCAATCACTTAGTCAGGACAAACAGTTCGTCAAGCGGCCAGTTAAATCGTCAGTTAAGTAGTCAATCAGTCAACTGAGCAGTCAATCAATCACTTAGCTCATTGGTCAGCTAATCAATCAGTCAATCAATTACATTGGATAAACAGTCAATCATCAATTGGTTACTTAATCAGCCATTCAGTTAGTCAGTCAATCAGTCTGTCAATCAATCACATAACTGGTTCCTAAGTCAATCACTTGGACTGTCAGTCAGTCAATCAATCACTCAGCCATTCATTCAGACAATTAGTAGTCTCTCAATCAGTTGACCAGCAATTTAGTCAAGCGATTACTAAGTCATTAAGTCAGCCAATCACGCAGTCAATAAGTAAATAAGTTGCGATAAGCAGTCCGTCATTCAGCTAGTCAATCAGTTGATCTGTTGGCCAGTCAATCAAGCAGTTTGTCAATCAGCCAGTAGGCTATTCAGTGGTCAATCAGTCAGCACAGGCCCGTCAATCAGACACTCAATCAATCAGCCAGACAGACAGGACACATAAAAGTCATTCAGTCAGTCAATCAGTCAATCAAAACTAACAGATGTCTACTTAAGTAAATATATGCTATATCGAGGCTTAGAGAATCCTCTCGATAATGTATCTCTGGCATTTTCCATCTGGAATTTCCTCGCGTAATGCGATCCTCTCCTGTGCCGGGGATAGATACAAATATAAAGCTCGGCCATGTGTTATCTCTGTGATTTACGACCCAATAAAAAGCCTTTAAATAGGACGGCGAACGCTATCGAAGAACCTCTTCGCCTGATAAGCCAAGGGATGTCGTATTTCTTGATTCTTAATCAAATTGCATATACTTGAATAAACTCGAGTGCCAAAGCGAGCTGAGTATGCAACTAATTTATTCATATTCGCGTTCGATAACTCGTAAATCGATAGTTATCGATTTGGAGCTTTGTTCTTTTGGCCATAACTCGAGAACTATGCCAGCTATTTGCACCAAATTCGAAATGTAGGCTCTGTTGCGGCCCGCGCAGCTTGTGCGCAGTTCTTTTTTTTGATCCCAAGCTCCATTGCGCTGAGAATTTTCGCAACATTGTTAATATAAGAGATAGCGCCTTGGGCTTTCGGATGTGCACGCTTTTCTGTGCCCCAATTAAGTCTTGCAAATTTTACAAAGATAGAAGTTCAAACAGCCGAGTTAGCTGGGCAAGTATTGCCCATAGGGCGAGGTCTTGGCCGGAGGCAGCACGATCTTAACTTAAAGCTTAAAGAAAGTATTATTGGGATAGATCGATGGAATAGTAGGATCTTATATGGCAAATACACTGCAAGTGTATCAAAACTTCGGCGTGCCGAAGATATCCTTAAATTTATATATATATATAAACGTATTCTTATAAATCTTTTAGTCTTATAACTAACAAAAGTAAAAGAATTCAACAAGATAAACTTAATAATTTTATTAAAACTTTAAGTGGAACCAGCAAAGGAACGAGCCGGGGAACTGATTCAAAGCGTGAACCGAAACAAGGAACCAAGGAACTATGGAACCAAGAAACCAAGGTACACATTACCAAGGAACTAATGAACCAAGACCCCAAGGAACGAATGAACCAAGGAACCAAGGAACTCATCAACGAAGACCCCCAGGAACTAATGAACCAAGAAACTTAAGAACTAAGGAACCAAGGAACAAATGAACCAAGGAACAAATAAACCAAGGAACCAGCCATGAACCAAAGCAAGATCAAATAAGTGCAAAAAAAAAGCAAACAGATAAGTTTTTATAAGCACGCCAAGCCCGACTATATATATATATATATAGATATATAGGTATATATGGTATATATATAGGTAAATGTATATATATGGGCATTTGTTATCGCTGTGAAAATGTCGGCGGGAACTTTGGAATAGGAAATGGAACAGCTCGAGTCATCGTGAAATTGGGCCACAGCACAAATATCTGTATACACATATACTATATACTATATATATATATATATAATGCACATATGCATATATATATATATATATAATGCACATATGTATATATATATATATATATAATGCACATATGTATATATATATATATATATAGATAGATATGGGTGTGTACTTGTTTATCTGTCGAGTGGTCTTTCGATCAGAAATCAAATTTAATGCCATTTGTCTGATGTTTTTTTAAGACCCCCGTCATGAGCTTATCTGCGCGCAACGTTCATAATTCACAATTATATTTATTTATTGCTTTTTTTTTTTTGTTGTTTTTTCATTTCTCATTTTTATTATGATTACTTTTCCATTTAGTTGGCGTTTTTTGTTTTTGTTAGCGCAAAAGTATTTGTAGTGTATGTATGTGTGTGTGTGTGTGTATATATGTATAAGTTTTCATATATTTAAAGCATAATTCATCAGCTAAGATAATGTTACATATTTTAAGCATAGTTAAAACATCAGTATTACAATTGTATATATATATATATATATGTGCATATATATATTCATTAAGCATACGACATAAACGACGATCTGTCTCTCTCTCTAACTCTTTCTATCTCGCTCTAGCTACATAACTATAATTCAGTGTTTCTTTTACGATATACGATATCGTTAATTAGTATATCGTTAACGGTATGTGCTGTGTTGTTAGCGCGTTGTGCGGGGGGTGTATGGGAGGTCTGGGGGTGGGGTTGGGGTTGGGTTTATACATGTGCATGCATTTCGCATGGTTTCTGATCAGAATTTTGTTTTGTTTTGTTATATTCTCCATTCAATGCATGTGTGTGGCACATGGCCGCCAGGTGGCGTGTTTGTTTTTAGATTTAGCACAGCTAAAAAAAAAAATGTTTAAAATCTTTTACAACTACAACTTATATCAATATGTGTATATATGTGTGTGTGTGTGTGTGTGTGAGTGTATGTGTGTTACTTCAAATAAATATTTACAAAGCAAACGCTTGGTTGTGTGTGGGGGTAGAGGGAGGTGTTGTGAGGGGGTTAGGGCGACGTCTGCTTAGGCCACTTTCTTAAAAACGAAAAAAAAAAAAAAAAAAGAATTGCAAAAAAAAATATGGGGCATAAAAATAAAACTAAATAAGAAAATGCGCAGCGCTTGAGAGGCGAACAGCTTGGCTTTTTCGGGAAAGTGGCAGGTGTTTTAATTTTTGTTTTCTTTTTTTCCAATTGGAAAGCGCTCTGACCCTGATCTAAAAAGGGGGCGCACCACCCAACCAAACCGAACGCGTGCAGCTGCACATTTATTGTCCGATAGATGGCGCAACAGTGCTCACTTTGCTCTTGGCACTGCTGTTGCCGCTGCTGGCCGCTGTTTTGGTGTTGGCGCTGCTGCTGCTGCAGCTGCTGCTGATGATGTTGTTGCTGTTGCTGCTGCTGTTGCTAGGTCCGTAGGGTGTACAGTTGTCGCTGGCTAACGTGGACTGCTCAACATTTGTGCCCATCGATGAGTTGATAAAGTTGATGTACTGATGCAGCTTGAGGGCGGCTATCAATGAGCTTAGATAGTCGTTGATGTTGCCCTGTTGGACCTGTTTGATCTGTCTGGAGACATTTCTATAGACGCGACGCGAGATCTTATTGGATAAGCGGCCAACGGTCTGGACTGTGTGTAGTACTGGGTCCTCGCTGGCGGGAACTGGCACTGCAAAACCAAATCACAAATAGCAATAAAACTACATTAATACACATTGAGACAGTTAATGACAACGATCTGGCAACGCTGTTAGCCTAAGCTTGAACTCGTTGCGAATTACAAGCATCATGCAGACACACGCACACACAAACAATTGCTGTTTAGTAATGACAATTACATATATATAGATATATAGTATATTAGAGATTAGCATGATCAGCTTACCATTAGCTTGTTGATTTCCCTATCGATAATGCCTACGATCTCTGGATTTCTTCTAATGTATTCAACAATTTCGGTTATGATTTTCAACGACATGGACAAAAATACCGTGGAGGCAGCTACTAAGAATCTAGTGTCAATCTCTTGATCATAGTCAGGCTCCCCAATAACAATAACTACAAGAGAGCAGAGAGAGAGAGAGGAGACGAAAAAATAAACATAATGTTTAGCAAATTAGTCAACACTGCATGCATAGTTTGGACAAATTTTAAAAAGAGGGGTCGAATTCTTTACATATATGCCCTGGGACTGGGGTTTATAGCCTGAGTTCAGCTGAAAACTAACGCTAAAACTCTATTTGAACTTAGCTTTTAATTGATTAGTTAACAAAATAAACATGCTTTCGATATGTATTTACTTCTTGGTTTTGTTAGCTTTGTGAGTTAGGTGTTGGGTTAGTTTCATTTGGACTGTGTTTTTTGGGGCACACTTACTGTCATTCTCAGCATTTTTGCCATTTCGCACGACAGCGCTTTGTTTATTATCTGAGAATTAGAAATATTTACGATTTATTCAAAACGAAATCGAGACCAAAGCCGAACAAGAGACCAAAACTAAAGACATTTATGGATGCAATTTCAGGGCTCGAGGGAATTAAGGAATCATGTTCTTCAAGGCTTGGAATATATCAAGAAAGTTCGCGACAAAAGTCGAGTAAGCTGAGAGATAAGTTTTTTAAGAGAGCTGAGCTCCGATGTAGATCTTCATAGGCTTAATTGAAATGGGTGGACTTTGAAGCAGCTACATACCAGATTTTAAGACTCTAACTCGCATAGTTCTCGAGATCGACTGCACTAACCAGGAATATTTTATATATATATATATGATGAAAGCTGATCTTCGGTAAAGGGCCAAAAACAACGCGACGTTGGGTGTTGGGCTGATCTTTATTGGGTTCGGTAGTCTGTTCCTTTCGGAAATTCCTGCCCTTGGAATGTTCTATCCGTTGGGAAGTCCCTTTCCTTCGGAAGTTCCCATCCTTCGGAAGTCCCTATCCTTTAGAAGTCCCTATCCTTTGGAAGTCCCTATCCTTTGGAAGTCCCCATCCTTCGGAAGTCCCCTTCGGAAGTCCCATCCCTTCGGAAGTCTTCATCCTTCGAAAGTCACCATCCTTTGGAAGTCCACTCCCTTTGAAGGCCCATTCCCTTTGCAAGTCCCCATCCTTCGAAAGTCTTCATCCTTCGAAAGTCCCCATCCTTTGAAAGTCCCTTTCCTTTAAAGGCCCATTCCCTTCGAAAGTCCCCATCCTTCGAAAGTCCCCATCCTTTAGAAGTCCCCTCCCTTTGAAGGCCCATTCCCTTTGCAAGTCCCCATCCTTCGAAAGTCTTCATCCTTCGAAAGTCCCCATCCTTTGAAAGTCCCTTCCCTTTAAAGGCCCATTCCCTTTGCAAGTCCCCATCCTTCGGAAGTCTCCATCCTTCGAAGATCCCCATCCTTCGAATGTCCACATTCTTTGGAAGTCCCTTCTCTTCAAAGGCCCATTCCTTTTGCAAGTCCCCATCCTTTGGAAGTCCCCATCCTTTGGAAGACCCCCTCCTTCGGAAGTCCCCATCCTTCGAAAGTCCACATTCTTTGGAAGTTCCTTCTCTTCGAAGGCCCATTCCCTTTGCAAGTCCCCATCCTTCGGAAGTTCCCATCCTTATTTGATCAACCTTTTTTTCTTTGGGTTCATCAAGCTCTTGTGGAACTTTCGTTTTGGGTTTATACAGAGATATGTTTGTTAAGCATGAACTATGCCCAGAGAAAACATCACAGAAACTGTTTAAAACTAATGCAAACATAATGAATTCCATTCGAGGATAGGATTGAAGGGGAGCGGGCGGGGTCTGGTATGTGATATACCCTAGAATGCCAAGCACAGCAGTGCATTGGAGAGGCGTTACTCACCATTATCCTCCTCGACATCGGACTCGCATTTGGGGAAATAGTATTCCAGGAGACGCTCGGCCAGGGCTGTGGTGGTGTCCACGCCGTTGACGGCCAGGCTGCCGTATTGGGTGGCCAGGACCTCGTTGGCCTTCTGCCAGGCGAGATCCTTGAGGGAGGCGGCCTTCTGCTGGCCGGCTGCCTTGAATTTGACAACACGCTCCAGATGCGGCTGGACGACATCGATCACCTTGTTCTTGGCCTGGGCATAGATCTCCTGCGGTGTGTCCTTAATGATGGGCGCCTTCACCTCCAGCGTTTCAATGCCCTTGACCAAGGTCTGATCCACATACGCAATGGGACGATCCAAGCGATTCACAATAGGCGCTGCGGTCGTTACGGCGCGTGCAACACAATCCTCGGCGGCATTTAGGGCCCAATTGAAGACGCGGTTTTTGCCTGCAACAGAGAGAGAGAGAGAGAGACGGAGAGAGAGACGGAGAGAGAGAGAGAATGAATATAAACTTTCTGGAAAAATGTATAGATGTGTGCGTGAACATGCACAATTGAGCTCTGGCCTGTGATAAGCTGCCCCTCCCCCCTTTCACTCTCCATTGGTCCCCTTGCCAGAGTCAGACGCTGCCTTATCGGCACTTGGCGTTGCCTGATTGATAAGCAACTGCGCAGTTGCCAGACCCAAGACTTGGCTAGCCTATTAGCTGTATTCTGAGTTAGACTTTGACAGTTGCTGCCCATTTAGTCATCGACAACAATTTCATCTCTGAGGTAGCACAAAATGTTATAAAAAAAAAAAAAAAAAAAAAAACTAAATAAAACACAAACAAGTCGAAAGTCCAACTAGACACACACACACTCACACACACACACACATACAGCAACATTGATTCACAGCAGAGGGCGGTGACAATTTGCGCAAATATTTTGATATGCTAGCGCCCCCTGTTGGTCACGCCACTGACTGCACTTTCCTAAGCTATTCATAGCTCGCTCGCACACACACACACACACACACACACTCACTCATTAGTGTGTACACACATATATATTGAAAAATTAAAAACTTGCGTCTATGTGTTTGTTGGGCTGGCAACAAATTAAGTTATGTAAATTTGTTGATTTTGCACTTTGCACGCACCGCCGGGCGCGTCATGAGCTTGGTGAAAGAATTTTGCCACTCTGACGACGGCAGGTCATGGTTGTTGTTGTTGTTGTTGTTATTTGGCGTCGCCTTTTATTGACTGTTGCGTCAATTGAGCTTAATTGGCTTCAATTTGGCAATGGCCAATTGCAATTTGCCGGCTCAATTAAAGTTTTCGAGTTTGAGTTTAGCGGCGAATTCGCTTCAAGCAATTCACACTCAAAATGGCGAACTTTGCACTCAACACGTCGCAGTTGCGCTTTGGCTGCGCTAAGCAACGGTTTTGATATTTGCTTTTGCTTGCTGTTTCGTTTCTTTTTTTTTTTTTTTTTTTGTACTTTCGAAGTCGGCTACAATTTCGAGCTGCAATTGATTTGCCGTTAGTTAACCGGCAGCACAGCAAAGCCCGAGTTCAATGCCCTGCCCAACACATGGCGCCCGCCGACACGAACTAATCTTAACTAGCTTGACTAAAGGCAACGAGAGAGCGAGAGAGGCGGAGAGACAGACAGACAGACAGAGAGAGAGAGAGAGGATTTGAATTGCACTTACCCTTCACTTTGCCATAGACATCTTGTGACTTATCCCAGGCGGCATTCACCACGGGCAGCTTTATGATGCGCTCCAGCGACTCCAGATGCGGCAGCAGATCCTTGGCATCCTTGGGCGGCTCAATTGGCTCTGTTAGCGCGCTGTTATTGTGCTTGGCGATGCCGTTGCCGTTGCCGTTGCCAGTTGCGTTTTTTTGCTCTGCACTTGCCATGTTTCTTTGAATGTTGCTATTTCTCTTTTGTTTCGCTTCTTTTGATTGGTTTTCACTTTTCTTGTTTTATGCTTTTGCTTTGCACGGCACTTTTTCTTTTTTTTTTTTTAGTCGTCTTTTGTGGCACCAAAGAAAAAAAGGCAGACAATTTTATATATGTGTGCGTGTGTGTGTGTCAGTTCCACGGGCTAAAGAACTTAAATGTGGCTGTGTGCGTGTGTGTGTGTGTGTGTGTGGGGGGCCTGTAGAATTGTGTATATGTATGTGTATACGATCTCTTGGACACTGGGCACGTCTGTTCGCTGTCGCACTCAACGCGTTTCTGACTGACTTGCAAGCTGCGCGGCTGGTTTATTATGAGGGCCTCTCTTCCAGAAGACGACGACGGCGGCGACGACGACGATGACGACGACGGCGACGCCGACGCCGACGTGCACGAGGCAAGCGAGCGAGCGCCAAAGCGAACGTGTGAGCGTGCGCCTGACAGAGATGGCGTAACACAGATTGGAGAGTAAGCCAATTGCTCTCTCTCTCGCTCTCCGCGCTGCCTTTTGAGTTTTGGACTTGCGGGCGCACCGACGCCGCTGACTCTGCCGCTGCAGTGCTGCACTTGAGCGACAGTGTGTGGCAAAAGTATGCGTCTCTATTCGCCTGGCACAATGGAGAGCCGCAATGAAAAGATTTTGGCCTGGGAGTTGAGTTTGTTGGAAAGTTGCTTTTTGGTTGCTTAATTTAATTTTAAAGAATTTAAAAGCTGAGCAAATACGATTGCAAGCGCCAACTATTACTTATGGGCTTTAAGGTTAAGTGAAATACATAATATAGAAGAAGTAGCTAATCACGTAAATATTCGGTTTATTAAATAAACTAATATAAATAAATAAAAATGAATAGATAAAATAATAATAATATATATGTATGTATGCATATATTTCAGCTTAACATATGGTATATAGGCCGCTTACTGCTTGCAGGCACTGTGTTGGCGAACATCTCACGCAACCGGTGTTGGTAAGTGTCGCATTGTTACTTTGGACTTGAATTGAATTTCAACATGTGAAAATGACGTTTCGAAATTGGTTTAATCAAATTAAGTGTGTTTATTTGCATTTGCAATGGCTGCTGTTTGCTTGGCCGGCCTCTGGAGCAGGGTTGGCGGGGGTCGGGGCGTGTTTGGGGGCTGGGCGGCAGATGGGCCAGCATGCAATTCCCATTGGCATTTGCATAATTGGAATTACGCCAAGATGCGGAACGGGAACATGCCAGCTCCTACCAGACGCACGCGTGTGTGTGTGTGTCTGAGAGAGAGCGAGAGAGAGCGAGCGTGTGAGAGCAGAAGACGCGCCATGCTTGACAACTAGATGAACACGCAGTCCAATGCGCACACCCCGCTACCCCTCCCCCGCCCAACGCTCTCCTCCCTGGCCGCAGTTCCATAGAAATTTGTTCAAACAGCATTTATTATTATCAATCGCATTGTTTGTGTGCGTGCGTAACCTTTGACCCAGGCCAGAATACGTACGCTCAGCACCCGATAGGGCGATAAGACGCAATGCATTCGCTTGACCAAGCTTGTGGGATCATGTCATCCGCGCGCTAGGCATTGGGCATTGGGCTTTGAATATGGCGCCATGGACGGGCGTTACACGTAGAACGCGCATACGTAATATTTGCTCAGCTCCATGTAATGCCCAGCGCAGTTCCAAAGTTCAAGCAACGGCTTCTGACTAAATGACTTGCGGGTAAAACACAGCAACAACAACAACAGCAGCAACAACAACAGCAGCAACAAAGTAAACGTGCTCCCGATGAGGCTGCACGACTGCCCAGATACCCTGTACTCATAAAGCGTCCGTGCTTCTTTCACTCCCCGAGTGGCAAAGTGAAAGTTATCTTACAGTACTTGCCTCTTGCTGTCAAATACGGCATGCTCTGCTAGCAAGACTCGAATTGAAAATCGATATTTATCGATTAAGGTGGGATTGAGAAAAGTCTTATCAGTGTGTGGAAAGCAGCTTGATGAACGCACAGCATAAAAGAACGTGCAAACGAATTTGCTGTTACAAGCTTAAAATCTAGCCCGATATGGTCTTAAGATATCGGTGCTGACAATCGATATTTATCGAATTTGGTGGTATTAAGTAGAGTTATCGCAAGGAAGGAGAAAACACGGGAGATGGAGAGAGAAATGTATCTATTATCACCGATATATGATCATACAAATCCGGGCTGAATATCGATAAATATCGAATTTAGTTGAATTGCATAGAATTATCGTAAGCAGAGAGAAAATTAGGAGATGGAGAGCGCGATTTAATAGAGTTATCGAAAACAAAGACACAAAACGGAGAAAAGGAGACAGAGACATCTATATTCAGCGAGATCAAAATAAGGCCGACTATCGATATTTATCGAATTTGGTTTAATCACGTTCAGTTATCGAAAACATACACAAAGTAAAAGGAAGTAGGAGAAAAAGAAACGGGAGAGAGAGAGAGATGCTTATCTAGAGTCAGCTCTCGCTGAAAATCGATATTTATCGAATTTGGATCAATCGCGCACAGTTATCGAAAACGTAGACAAAAAATAAAAGAGAGAGAAAGAAACGGGGGAGACCGAGAGAGCGATGCTTATCCAGAATCAGCTCTCGCTGAGATATCAGGGCTGAAAATCGATATTTATCGAATTAGAAAAAAAACAAACAAAAAACTTGTATTTTGAGGCTCTGCTGGGCACTCGCTGGCTCTTCAATGGATATGAGGCATAGCCGATTGAGAGGTTTAACCAAAAGGCCGAACGTTTCTGGGTCTGGGTCCGGATACGTTGATAAGCCATGCCAGACGCTGGCCATAAGTGGTATGTACCCAATCAGGCGTCTGGTTCGTGGCCCAGTTGCGTTCGGTGACTTGTCAACCGCACAACCACAAGCCTCGGGGTATCAAAGATTATTCCAAAGTTCAACTAATTTATGTTGTCGTCATATCTGGTAACGCGTTGTAATCCAGTTTGGGCGCTAATTGGCGGGCTTATCGCCGATATCGGTATCTAAATCGCAATATACTTAGCTATATATGTATTTAGCCATAATGAGCTGTAGGCCCCAAAGTATGTGTTTGTTCGACTTTGGGCCCCTCTAATCGCATTTACGAGCTGCGTACCAACTCGTATTGGTTACGCTCTTAAATAACTTATATATATATGTATATTTACAACATTGTAAATCAATTCAGAGTCGGGTTCCTCGTAACTGTTTATTAAGCGCTCTAATAACATATAAACAAATTGTAAATCTAAACATGCTCAAATATTTCAAGCAAATATTTGTTTTTGTTTAGCCATAACTTGTTTGACTCAATGTTTGTGCCGAATTTTGTATACCCTTTCCGAAAGGGCGCCTGGATTTTAACAGCATGGCAACATAAAAGATTCGAGTTTCCAGCTAGTTCGAACCAGATTCTGGTTCAAACCTTCGTTATTCTCATATCTTTTCATCAAGAGTTTGAGATTTTGAGAGGGTATTTCTATTTTTACAGCATGATAGGATCAGAGATTCGATTAGACATGATTAGGTCCGTCTTTATAAACGTTTCCGTGTTTCCTTTCTTTGTTAATGAGAGCACAACAAAAGTTCGAACCACTGCGTCCCAGATGCTGGTTCAAACCTTGATTAATTTCATTTTTTCCCCTTTTTTCATACATATATCATTCAGCTTAGGAATCTCTTAAAGATTTATATCTAAAATATCGCAAGCGCAAACTATTCTCTCGATTTTGGAGCTAGCCACAAGTCGGGCGATAATATTATATAGCTGCCATAGGAACTATTAGTGGCAAATGAACTTTCTATATAGATAACTTTTTTGGCTTAGAAAAACTGTTATCTGAACATAACGACAAGATCTGAACAGGATCGGACAACTTCATAATCTTTTCATATCAAAATTCTGAAGTATTTGGGTAAAAGAAAAAAACTGTCTAGAACATTAACGAAATGTCTGCAAGGGTATTTCAACTTTGACAGCCCGATAACATTTGAGTTTTATTTTTTTTTTTATACACTTTTATCATGGATAATAGCCCTATTAGCTAGACGGCAATACAGTTACATATATTATCTACGGATTGCGCCGTTTCGTAACACTCCCTCCCAATACCGCCCAATGAAGTCAGTCGCTCCAAATAAGCGTTGCGTTGTCGGTTATTGACACTCATCGTTCTTATCGGGCCTCGGATTAATGTGCATATACTATATAGATACATAGACACCATATAGGGTCCATAGTGTGTATGTAGAGAGTCCAGAGTCAAGTCCCATCTGGCTTCAGTTGCAACTGATTTACCAGATGAGCCAGTATGTTCAAGTCCAAGTTTTTTTCTGTATCCGAAATTATAAAACCAGATGATATACATACATATGCATGTCTGTGGACTTTGCACAGGGAATATACGGCATTCATTACGGTAATCATGCGTAATTTGGATGAGTCGCTGTTAGCTCATTGTTCGTTCACTTTTCATGTTTTCATTCCAGACGTTATCGCTCTTTCGAGAAAAAAAAAAAAAAGAATGTACTCAATGCGCATTTCTGTAGATTGCCGATTCTTGTTGTTCAGATAAGCAAGCCAAATAAAGTCTTTATAGATTTTCTTTATATGGTCGAGAGAGTACATGAATATATCAATTCCCAAGGCATACTTCATCTAGAAACTGAATTACTGGGGTCTACTGATGCTTTTTGCACTGGAATCTTTATAGACATTCATTATTAAGTAAAGTACACGTATCTCTAGCAATTCCCCAGGCATACTTCATCTGAGAAACTGAGTTACTTGGGTCTGCTTGCGGCTATTCTTGCTCTACAACATTATTTGAATAACTGGAAACGTGGAAACTTATGGAAAACCAGAGAAATTGCTGGGCAGGTACATGATATATGCCCGGAAGCAGATGCTATGTCAGATATTGGCTGGAGCTCGAGTTATCAGAGTCTTTTGAAGGCTTTTGTGAATAACTGGCTAAGCACATTTTTATAGATATTACTTGGCGAGCAAATGAGAAAAGTTTGGCAACATAATTCCATGTCAACGTTGTCTAGAACCCGAGTTATATGGGTCCATTTCAATTTTTCGAATATAAAATATGTGGTACACATATTTTTCGAAAACATAAACTAATGGAACTGCCTGAGTGTCAAACTGGAGTCGATGCGTTGCCCAGAACTCGAGTTACTTGGGTCTAGGCAATCCAAATGTAACTGGGGAAGGCAAAGCAGCTGTTAAGCTCGGATAACGGTAAGCGTTAAGCACTTGATGATCATCCTTAATACAGTCACAGTCTCTCTCTCTCTCGCTCACTCTCTCGCCATTTGTCTAACCGTATGTGTGTGCGTGCCCCGTTTAAATGTTAAACGGAATTCGTCATGAAGCAGACCGACCACACGAGAAGCAAGCAACAAAAGCAAAGTAGAAAAATAACAAGAAAAAAAAAAAAAAAAAAACAGCCAGACAATTGGACTTTGAACGCACTACGTGTCGTCGCCGGCGTCGCCGTCTGCGTGGCTAATGACGACGACGACGCAGCAGCAGCAGCAGCAGCAGCAGCGCTGCCGCCGCCGCCTGCGTTGTGAAGCATTGAGAAAATTCGATGAGCGAGCGCCAAGTTTCATTTGCTGGGCAGCAGCAGCAGCGGCAGCAAGAAGAACTCTTTGCTCTTTGACTAAATTTAGACAAGTTGCGACCAACTCTTGGCATACGTCATTTCATACAAACATACATGCATACATGCATAGCATATACGCACGTTGCCATCTTGGGGGTACAGTTTGACATGCCACACGCGTCTATAGTTTGGGCAGCAGTTCAACACGAGTGCACATGCACTTGCTAACTACACACAACAGATGTCGCTGCACACACACGCACAGATGTCGCTGCCCGCACACACACATACAAATGCGGCCCCAGCGAATTTGTTTTTGCATTTCATTGCTGTCTGTGGCTGCTTTTTTAGTTCGCCTCAATGACAAACGGTTAACTAAGCTTTGCATGAAAGCATGCACTGTTAGTTATACATACACACGCACACGCACACGCACACACACATACAATTACATATATTTTTAATTCGCCGGCTGTGCTGAACTTTGAGTTGAAGCAATGCTAATTTCTGCGCTTATTGCTGTTTTTGTAGCGGTTCTCTGTTCTCTGCTGCTTCTTCTCGCGCCGCTTCCGTTGCCGTTTGAATTCTTCATGCTGCCTATTATAATAATCTATTTGTTTGTATGTATGCGCACATATGTATGTATGCGTATGTGTGTATGTATGTGTGCAAGCTTTTTTCATATTTTGTTTTTGATTGTGTGTGTGTTTTTTTTTTCTACTTTGGTGTATTTTGTTGTTTGTTAAACGCAACCTTGATCTTTTATTTTTGGATGTGCGAATTCTACAGCTGTGTGCCTGTGTGTGTGTGTGTGTGTGTGTGTGTGTGTGTGTGTGTGTGTTATACGTGTTGCTCTTGAACTGCAGCAGTAAACAAAATGTGATAAGATTCGTGTAGTTCCTACATTTTGAATCTTTGGGAAAGTAGCTCAAGAACTTAAAAACTTCATATTATAAAATAGAACAGGCAGACAATACAATCTAATCATAAATTTGTTGATGTATGTACAAATGTATGACATGCATACAATGTATGACATGCAGTGTATACATACATATGCATGTATGACATGCAGTTTATACATGTGCGTATTGATTGACGGACCGAATGAGCAACTGACTGAATGATTAGCTGACTGATTGATTGAATGACTCAATAAGTGATTGACTGGCTGATTGATTAACTCACTGACCAATAGTATGACGGACTGACTGACTGATTGACTCACTGACCAAGTGTATGACTGACTGACTGATTGATTGACTTACTGACCAAATTGTATGGCTGATTTATTGACTCACTGACCAATATGTATGACGGACTGACTGATTGACTGACTCACCGATCAACTGTATGGCGGATAGAATGATTGACTGACTTACTGACCAATAATCTGACGGACTGACTGATTAATTGACTCACTAACCAATTGTATAACGGACTGATTGACTCTGTGAGAAATTGTCTGTCGGACTAAATGATTGACTAATAGTCTGACGGACTGATTGATTGATTGACTAACTTTTCTGACGGACTGAATGATTGACCGATTGACTCGTCTGACTGATTGATAGTCACCACACCGCAAGAGCTACCAAGTACTCGGACGGACAGACATGGCTATATCAGCTCGACTTTTGATGTTGGAATATATATTATATGTATACTATATGGATTTGGAAATGTCTCCTTTCAGGGCAAAATTCAAACACGCTCTATAAGTAAACTCTTGGCCAGGGTAAGGCCTACGATATCAGGTGATATGCATATGTTTCCCTGGTATTACACAGTGTGCACATATTTGCCAATCGCGTTTGTAATGCAATACCACGTATTAGTTTACCAATCGCAAATTTTATATATATATATATATATAGATATATATATTTGCCAAGAAAAAGTCAAGGAAACAATAAATAATTGACTTGCGAGCTGGTAAAATGGTCGATTCTGTGCAGGTGCAGGCGGGTCCCATGGTTCGTGGTCAGTTATGAGGGAGTGGGGAGGGGGCAGGATATGGGCAAGCAGTTGGAGAAGCGCTGAGAAGCATGCCAGCTGTTATGTGCCGTTATGTCGGCCGACAACAATAACGGTAAATAACGGCTACAGTTAAATATGAACAACGAAACGATTAACATGTCCGGGCCGGAAACGGGTCCGGGTCTGCTAAACAAATCGAATCCGGTTTTCTGCTGTTATCTATTCTGGAGCAGCCTGCTCGTACTGAAGATGCTGTTGATGTCCCTGTTGACGGCACGTCAGCGCATCAAGACGAAAACCTTTGCCAATCCGGAGGATTTGCGTGTGGCCAAAACCAGCGATGTCCGTTTCAATGATCCCAATGTGGAGCGTGTGCGTCGGTGAGTTGATAAATCGCACAAATCTCATTTACCCTCCCCCACCAAGTTCATTTGTGACGTCATGCTGCATCCGGCAATCATTTTAGTTCTTGGGCATGTCTGCAATTTTAGCTTTTCTAGCTAAATTTGGCCATGTTCGCAGTTTAGCCGCTATTTATAGGCCTCCCCATTTCGTATGTCCAATAATTGATGCGTATTCCTGCTTAAAGTGCACGTTGGCAACACTGACGTGTAGCCTGACTTTCGCTCTCGCTTTCGCACACTGTTCTCTGAGTCTCACACAGAAGTGAGAAGTGCGTCTCCATTTATACTTGGTACACGTGGTAAAAATGTATATAATACATAGACAGAGTTAAGGAAAATCGATATTAGCTAATTTGAATTTTACAGCTTTTCAAATCGATTTATATTGCAATTATCTTTGTCACAGTTTGAAAGCCACTGAGCTGCAGCATAAGTAAATACTTTCAGTGTTAACCTTTTTGGCAAATGTGTCGTGTGTGGGCACCTAATTCAATGTTTACATTGCAGAATTAACATTTCCCCACACTCCACCCACTCGCACTATCAATCGCTCTCTTTGTCCAATTTAACAGCTCTGAAAACTCGCTCACTCTCTTTTTCATTCTCTCTCTCACACACAAACACTCTGTTCTCGTCTATTTGCAGCGCGCATCGCAACGATTTGGAGAATGTGCTGCCATTTTTGTTAATGTCCCTGGCCTACGTGGCCTGCGGCCCCCACCCGCTGACCGCCAAGCTGCTGATACGCATTGGCGCCAGCGCTCGGCTGCTGCACACAATTGTTTACGCGGTGCTGCCGCTGCCGCAGCCGACGCGCGCGCTCTGCTTTTTCATAACGTTTGGCATTGTGTGCTTCGAGGCGATCTATGTGCTCATCGCTGCTGTTAAATACATCTAGAAGGGGCGGGCCAAACAGTGGGGCGTGGGGGGGGGGAGGGAAGTTGGTTTAATGAGCCGTTTAACATTTTATGTTCTGCCCAGTCACCTAGTCTAGCCTCACACACACACACACACACACACGCGCGTAACCAGTTTGGCCAGTTGCTGCTGGTCTTGTTGCTTGGAACTGGCTGCGCATTGGATCACTTGCCAAAGCTCGCTTTAGCCGCACAGACAAAACACGCGCTCGCCATGTCCAGCCCAACTTATAATAATAATAATAATAATAGTAATAGCAATAATGGCAGCCAACTGGCGAACATGGAGCTGCTGACACTGGACAATCCAGTCTTCTGTTGCTATCTGTTTTGGGCCACGGTGCTGGTGGCCAAGATGCTGCTCATGTCGCTGCTGACGGCGCTGCAGCGTTTCCGCTACAAGGTGAGTCCTGGCCAAACGTGAGTTCTCGCTGCGCTTGCTCATGTCGCATTTCACATTTTCACAGCTGCTGGGTCTGGTCCCGCTGGCTGTGCGGCGCAAGGTAAATCCCTCATGCCCGCAATTCTTGCGTGCTTTACACTCTCACTCTCATGCACGAGCTGTCGAGATCAGAATTGCACTCAAACATTGAGTTCCTTAACATACATACATCCATTCATAATCCTGCTCTTTGGCATACTCTCGCTCTCACTGGCACGCTCTCTGAAGCGTCCCATGCACTGCCTCTCTCTCTCTTTAAATTGCATGCCAAACGCTCTCTGTTAATGCAAGTCTGTAATGTGTGTGGCTCATGTTATACCTTCTTCTTGTTAACATTTTTGCTTCTTTTACATTACTGTTAATTACTTTCCCTTTCGCACACACACTCACTCCAGATCGCAATTACACTCAACGCGAAAATGAGTGAGCTACAAGGCCCCCTTGTTTTTTACTTTCCCTCTCGCTTGCACTTAAACGAAATCTTAAGTGGAAATGGTTTTCGCTTACCTTTCAATCAGCGTATTCCAGTTAACAATTGCCTGCCGCCTCTTTTCAGGTATTTCCCAACGAGGAGGATCTGTTCTTCAAGAACATTGAAGTGCAGTTCGATGATCCGCACGTGGAACGCGTCCGCAGGTGGGTTGCGTCCAGAAACAGATCCTGCCACAGGCAGACAACTCATGCGCCCTCTCTCTCACACTCTCTCCCTCTCTCTCTGTAGAGCGCATCGCAATGACATGGAGAATATTTTGCCCTACTTTATCATGGCCTTGATCTATGTGTGCACCAACCCCAATCCCTTGGTGGCCTGCAATCTGTTCCGCGTGGCTGCCATTGCACGCATTGTCCACACGCTCGTCTATGCCGTCTACCCCGTGCCACAGCCATCGCGTATTCTCGCCTTTGCCACCATGATGCTGATTACCTTCTACATGGCCGCCGTGGTCGCCTTGCGTACTCTGCGTTTTATTTAAGTGCTTTAAACAATTGTTGGATTTAAGCAAGAGCGCCAAAAAGCGCGCAAGCTGGCGTCACTGGCTCACATTGCCAGGGCAGCACAAAACTGGTCTAGGGTTGCAGAGCTTTAGGGTATTTTTTTTTTTTTGTAATTGTAATTGTATGCAAACTCAATAAATAACTAATTAGCTGCAATAGCGCGCGATGTTGTGATGTCACAGCTGCAGCTTGATTACTGACGTCACTGGCTCACGTTTGCCAGGGCAGCACGAACTGGTCTAGGGTTGCAGCGCGATTTTGTGACGTCACAGCCGCAGCGTTTCCACAAGCGGGCAAACATTGGATCGAAACATGCAACATGGTATCAACAATTTTGGTTTATGTTTATCCATTAAATTAACTATAATTAGCTTGAGAATATAACGAAACAAGAGAGAGACCACGCAGGGCGTAAGGCTGCCGCCTAAATCTAAGTACTCCGACCACACCGCCCAGCAGCCCAGGTCCAGCTTTAGATATTGAAGCCAGCATCGCGCATGCACTGCTTGTGCGCCTCAATGAGCTTTGTGCAGTTCTCCTCGCCGTTTTCCACAATGCTGCACATACAAAGCAAAACAAAGGTTGACAATTCATTATGAAAAACACAATGCAAAACATGTTGCGTCATCTGCATTTACTAACCATTGATCACGTGCACGCTTCGTTTCGGGACAGGCACAGCAGGCTTTGCATTTGGGCTTGTCCCCGCCGGCGGACGCTGCGTCTGTGGCCTTGAGCGCGGGCGCTGCAGCGTTCTCAACGACTCCGACTCCCTTGGATGAATTGCTGCCCATTGTGGTTTGTGTTATTTGCGCGTGACTTGATGAAAATTAAACAAAATGCGCTGCTATTTATTGAACACGTTGCACTTTCACTTGCCTTTGTTTATGTAATAAAACTTACCAAAAAAATCAAAATATATGTGCACTTTATTTCACCACAATTCTATTTATCGGCGCACACAAATAACAATTCAAGTTCACACACACACGCACACAGTTGTCAAACAGCTGTGCCTTTGCCTATCGATAGGCGGCGCTGCAGCGCACGTGCTTGGCTGTGTTTTGCGGCTGCAATTTGTTGCTTAAACTCAAGCGGGTATTTCGTTTTATAAATATAACAATATAGTGTAAACAACTTTTTAACGACTCTGCTGTACATATATGAGATTTGTTTTTTGTAATTCATAGCCCGCAACTAGCTTTTTTCCTGCTCAAAGACTGGCAGCACTGGCGATTAGCGCGCGCAATGCAGCTCAACTCAACGCAACTGTTATCGATATACAAACAATGCATTTGTTTGTTTGTTTGTTTTTTTTTTTTTGCTTGACTACAGTTAGCGTAAATATTATTTATTGAAAATAAAAAAATGTGATTACCGACAACAAACTGTTTTCATGCCGTCTCCATTTGCGCTCCATTTGCCGGCTGCTTTAGCCGCTGCAGCATATTGTGCGAGACGAAATCTAGCTTTAAATGCTGCACGCTCAAGGCGCTGCCATCCCAATCGAGCAGCGCCTTAAATTTGGCCGCATCGCACAGGTTGAGCATTTCTGGGAACAGGGACAAATGAAATTTGATTTAGCCAATATACCCATGGAGTAAACGACATACCCATGCCGCCGCTTTGGTACTCATTGCGCTCCCTTTCCAGCGTTATGTTTATCACATCGCGACGCGCCGCGTGCTGATGGGCGCGATGTTTGCCAATCGATTGCTTTAGCGCAATTTGTGCCAGTTCCTCGTCGAAACGTTGCAGATAGAGCGCAATTAGATTCTCGAATTCCTGTGGGCTAAGCGGCGTTGTTCGGCCCTCGTCGATGTGGCCCAGAAACCAGCTCAGCTTCTCGCCCAACAGATTGCTTTTGATGGCATGGCCGAGGCGCAATTTGTGCTTGTTGTTCTGGCGGCGCGCTTTCTTGCCGAGCGCCTTGGTCTTACGGCTGTTCGGGTGTTTGCATTTCTCCAGCTCCTTGCGCAAGTTTGTCTGCAATCGGTATAATTACAACTATTTGTATTTGTTGAGGATTTCCACGACTTGCCATTTTGATGAGCACGTTGTTTTTGTTTCTTCCAGCTGTTGGCAGCTAACGATAGTACGGCTGCTGTTGGCGCTAGAGGGCGCCAGCGCAACGTTAAGGCAACCATTTTGTTTGGCAGTGTTGCCAAACGGTCACAACTTGGCTATAGCTTAATATATCTATTGTTTTTTGTATAAAGTGTCTGTAAGCTGCACATGTAAATTAATTTCATGTCTAGCTGAGTAACATGACGTAACTGTTTTAATAAATCTTGAAAAATTCACTTAAACAGGTGGCAGCAGTTTGTCGCGCTCGTCAGATGTCGCCTTTTCAACGATCAATCAACCAATTCGTGCTTAGTCATGAACTCCTATCGATACTATTGCGCATCGATATTGTGCCATTTAACCGCTAGCTGGCGCCAGCGCAATGATCAGCTCCACCTGGCAAACAGCTGGCAAATGCAAAACAAACGCACGGCCGCAGGTTCGCTTGATAAGGGCGATCATTAGGGGGCAGTTGAGTGGTTGTAACGCGTCAACGCACACAATTCACAGCATTTAAAAGGTATTTGTTGTCCGGTTAAACAGCCACAAATGTGCTATATCTAACACTTGCAGGCCAGTCGAAACGCATTAACCAACGCGGCACACATCATGGCAATGGCAACACACCTGCTCCGGCATGGGAGCACCTATTGGCTGCTCAGAAACTGTCGTCGCTCGAGCCCACTCACTGTGAGTACATGCATTAATACAGATTTCAATTAAATACGTTTTCTAAACACCGTTTCATTGGCCCTTGAAGCGTTGCCGAAAGCGACGACAAACGGCAAGTTTGCGAAGTTCTGCAATGTTCTGTTATGTAATCGAATTCGCGCACAACAAGTGTCAATTCGAGCAGCCAATGGCCTGCATGCGTGCGAGCGCAATAGCAATAGCCTCTACGCATAGCATGCAACAGCTGCGAGAGAGAGAGAGAGAGAGAGCGAGATAGAGAGGGCCAGTTGTTTTGGTGTTGTAGCATGAATTCCGAAAGGGGGCGCATGTTTACTTGACTTTACAATTCTATGCGCGCGCACCCATTGAATCTGTTCAAGAGCGGGCATCTTGTGCTTGAGGGTGTGTATGTAACATGTAGAAGAAGAAGCCACCATGGACTTATCGATCTGTGTCTGTTTGTTTGTTATAATGATTTTTAATAGAACGAGTCCAAATTTATATCGATGAATATCGATTTTAAGCGATTTTGTTTACAGGGCAGCTGCCAGTCGGGCAAGCGCGTTTTGTGTTTCTGTAGAATTTGCACTTTGTATTGAAATTCAAATTGAACATTTGGAATTTGTATGTTTTTTTTTTGTTTTCAGCTGGCGCGTTGCCTGCACTTCACGCCCTGCCTGGAGAAGAAGGTGGCCTTCAACCTGAGCGACATTGGCGAGGGCATCCGAGAGGTGACCGTCAAGGAGTGGTTCGTCAAGGTGGGCGACACCGTCGAGCAGTTCGACAACCTGTGCGAGGTGCAGTCGGACAAGGCCTCGGTGACAATAACCAGCCGCTACGATGGCAAGATCACAAAGATCTATCACAGCATCGATGAGCTGGCGCTGGTTGGCAAGCCGCTGCTCGAGTTCGAGGTCGAGGATGCCGATGAGGAGGATGAGGATGAAACGAGCAGCAGCGATAGCAGCGACAGCGACGCGGAGTCCGGTCAAGCTGGCGCTGGTGTCCAGGCTGGCGCTGGAGCAGCTGCCCTTCCAGCTGGGCGTCACATAACCCCGGCCACGCCCGCCGTGCGCCGCCTGGCCAAGGAGCACAAGGTGAATCTGTCCGAGGTGCCGCCCACGGGCAAGAATGGACGCGTGCTCAAGGGCGATGTGCTCGAGTATTTGGGTCAAGTGCCGCCGGGCACAAATGTGCCCCACCCCAGCAATTTGCTCAAGCAGAAGACAGCTGCTCCAGCTTCTCCAGCTGCTGCTCCGGACGTGGCGGCGCCTGCGGATCGCGTCGAGCCGCTCAAAGGTGTGCGCAAGGCCATGCTCAAGTCTATGACGGAATCGCTGGTACGTTATACGTTATACCCTGTTTTTTCTCTTCTTAAATGTCAGCGTTAGCTCAATATTTGCACAAAATCGATAATTATCGATTTGCAGACTAGCCGCACTAAACTGCGATAAATATCGATATTCAGCATCGATTTTCAGCCTCGATACTTTTAGCACATCTCTGAGAGTTACACAAAATTTGGTATGCTCGTTATATATGTCACACGCAGACCCCCGATAACTTTTCGATGCTACACATATCGATATATATATATATCGATTTTTGTAGAATACATTTGTTGAATATACCTCTGAGTTGAATACCTCAAATTAGGCATAAAGGCTCTGTGTATATCTTACGCATATCACAGCTTTCACCCCAATAACTCTTTCATTCTGCACAAATCGATTAATATCGATTTTCGCTTTTTGAGTTCATGAGCATATTTATGAAAATTTAAGAGTTGAGCACACCAAATTTGGCGTGTTTATAAAACCCAGGCCACGTTTATTCCATTTTTAGCGATATTTTAAAAATCGATAAATATCGATTTTGAAATGTGTAGTTTTCTCATTATCGCGGTGGAAGCACTAGTTGCATGATATTCGCAAGTTACTAGAAAATAATCGATGATTTCCACAAATCGATAAATATCGACTACTCCAAATCGATAAATATCGATTTCACCATATCGATAAATATCGATTTGAAGCCTTCATATTTTTAAAGATATGATACTTGGTATATGTATTTTCGATCCATCTTCACCCAAAACTATAAATATTTCGAGCATTTCTCTGTGAGGAACACAGAAGATTTTGTGGAATAAATTTGCCATAGTACGAGGCATTTTCCAGCTGGGGAACTAGAGAGGAAACTTGGACAGCAGATCACATTTGGGTTGACTAACGCATTGTCTTGTTTTCACAGAAAATTCCACATTTTGCGTACAGCGATGAGATCGACATGTCGAATCTGGTTAAGTTTCGCGCCCAGCTGCAGTCGGCTGCCCAGGAGCAGGGCGTGCCCAAGCTGACGTTTATGCCGTTCTGCATCAAGGCGGCCAGCATTGCCCTGGCCAAGTATCCGATTGTGAACAGCAGCCTGGATCTGGCCAGCGAGTCGATTGTCTACAAGGGTGTACACAACATAAGCGTGGCCATCGACACGCCGCAGGGCCTGGTCGTGCCCAATATCAAGAACTGTCAGGCGAAGGGCATCATTCAGATAGCCAAGGATCTGAATGCTCTTGTCGAGCGCGGACGCACTGGCTCCCTGACACCAGCGGACTTTGCCGATGGCACCTTCTCCTTGTCCAATATTGGCATCGTAAGTTCCATGCATGATACCCTTGCCGAAAGGATTATCTAGTATTGTCAGTAAACCTGCACCCGGAAGTATTCTTGATTGATATACTGATTGACTGATTGACTGACTGACTGATTGATTTATTAGCTTAATTGACTGAGTGAGCAACTGAACGATTGTCTTGCTCGTTGCTTGACTAATTGACTTACTGATTGTTTGATTGACTGATTGATTAAATGACTAAGTGATTAATTGACAGATTGAGTGATTGTATGACTGATCAACAGAATGATTGTTTGATAAGCCTGTTTGACAGACTGACTGATTGATTGAGTCACTGTACGATTGATTGATTGTTACCTTTTAATGAATTGGCTAACTGATTGATTGATTGACTGGTTCTTTGACTGGCTGAGTGACTTACTGACTTATTGCTTGATTGACTGTATGATTGATTGTGATTGTTGGATTCCTTGATTGACCGTCTGATTGACTAGCTAACTGACTGAGTGACCAGTTGACTTATTGCTTGATTGAGTGACTAACTACCTGAATGATTGATCGTCTAGCTGTGTAACTGACTGATGCATTGACTTACTGACTTACTGATTGATTGCTTGACTGACTATATGTCTGATTGAGTAACTTGCTGATTGACTGATGGGCTTACTTACAGACTGTCTGACTGTTTAATCAACTGATTGATTGACTGCCCGACTGATTGATTCATTTACTGACTGACTGAAGGCTGTAGCTGTCTATCAGGCTATATAATTGTTGTCAATCTGGCTTTAATTGGACTTTCTTGTTCTATCTCATCTTACAGGTGGGCGGCACCTATACGCATCCGTGCATCATGGCGCCCCAGGTGGCCATCGGGGCCATGGGCAGGACCAAGGCGGTGCCGCGTTTCAATGAAAAGGACGAGCTGATCAAGGCGCACATTATGAGCGTCAGCTGGTCGGCGGATCATCGGGTCATCGATGGCGTTACCATGGCCAGCTTTTCCAATGTCTGGAAACAGCATCTCGAGCAGCCGGCGCTCTTCTTGCTACGCTAAGACAGAGGCCGGCGCCAGCGCTTCACTGATCAACCGTTAAGGCTGTTCTCATGCATTTATTTACAAAACAAAAAAAAAAGAAACAAAGAAAATCAACTAGGAAAATAGGAAAAACCTCTACAACAACAACAACAACAACAAGAACAACAAGAACAGGAACTCAGATGCCTTCTTGGCCGCCATGTGACGCACTTTTCCTAAACCCCCTCAGAATGTGCATTTATAGCGGACGCCGCCCATGCGGTCTCCCCTCTAGCTTTAAGCTCGTCGCGCACATGGCCGGGCCATGCCCCCATTAAAAACAACAAAAACAAATAGATTTCTTAATTCAATTGTTTTAGTTTCTAATGCAGTCCAACTGCAATTCTGTGTATATTTCTAATATATATATCTATTTTTTATGTACTCATGTTGTAAATGGTTGTCCAATAAACATCCAAGGATTTAAGCCAAAGCGCTGCTCTTAATCTAGCTATTTTATGGCTAAATGTAGCCAGAGATGCAAAGAGCCAGAAGTCAAACCATGAACACACACGTTTGAGATTTGATCGAGCTATTAGCCTGGGAAATTTAGAACTATGTCTGGCGATATTTGAGGGGTTTAACCGTTTTTAGCCGTTTTACGGCTAAATGCATTTCGCATTTCAATTGAATTTCATCTCAACATCTGGTATAGCTAACTTAGCCATTTAACAGCTAGAGCTTGTTGGCATATGTAGCTATTAAGTGGCTAGATTTGGTCAAGCAGCTAAACGCTTAGCCATTTTATGGCTACATTTTAGGCATTCATAGTTCGAGCTTTTATTGCAGTTAAATAGTTGAGCTTCAATTGAAGCCCTAAAGTTGTATAAGAGAAAAATGCCTAATGACTGCCGCAAGCCAGATAAATATACACATAAGTATACATTTATTTTTACACATGCCACAATACGAAATAATACTCCAGAGTATGCTCCAACACGCGCACACATACACACACTTATGCACACTTATACATATTTACTTTGGCTTTGGTTTTATTTTCGCTTGACTCGCGTCCATTTAGCTCAATTCCAAGAGCAAAGCGGCGTGTGTGTGTGTGTGTGTGCGTGCGTGTGTGTTGTGCATTGGAACGCACGTGGCTGTCAGTAGTCATGCGCAGTGACTGGAAACGGAATCCAACAAGTGCGGCATGGAAATGAGTAGAGAAATAAAAAAGTGGCTAAGCGTCAAATGGCCGACTGGCGCGCACGGCATTTCCAGTCTGGCAACGGCCAAATGCACGCGTATAGGAATTTCAACATGCGGCCACACAATAGCCACCACAATTCACCACAATTCAACACACCATAGCACACCAGACCACACAACACCACAGACAACGGGCCCGCGTCCTGGATGCTTATTAGTCGCAGTAATCAGTTATACTACGAACAGTGCGCAGCACAGACGCTTTAACGGCAGTTGACAAAATAGCACAGTTGCCAGTTGGAGCACAGTAGCTGCATTTGAGCAAAATAAACAGTTAATCCGTGTGCCTAATTGCTTTTGAGCGCGTGTTTCTTATACAAAAAAAAAAAAAAAAAACTATTTTTTTTTCTTGTTTCTTGTTCTTGTTGCCATTGTTGTTATTATTGTTGGAGCAGTTTTGTGTGGCGCGTTCGCAGCGCAACAATTGTATTGCATAGAAAATGTTGACGCATTGAGCTGATTGATTGACAACAATAATTGCCTCACGAACTGGTAAGTAAATGAATGCCAAAACTGTGCTATGCTTCTTTTTACAACACAGCTCTGCATGTGTGTGTGTGTGTGTGTATACTACTACAGCAACAACAATAGCTTTGGTATCGACACATTCAATGCTGCTGCTGCGGCTGTTGTTGTCATTGCTTTTGTTACTGCTGCTGCTGCTGCTACTGCTGCTGCTGCTGCTGCTTAACGATTTTTCCAGTGACCTTGTTGCGTACGCGAACGCCCGCTGCGTGCGCGCGTGTGTGTGTGAGTGAGTACGCATGCTGTGTGTGCGTGTGTGTGTGTCATTGTTACTCCAGCTCTGCTGCTTAGCCTTGTCAACCCACCTCACCTGCGTCGCGCTTTTTTTTTTTTTTGGCTGGCTTGGAAGTCCCAGCTGTCGGCGCAACGGCGTTCATTTTGCCTTTGCTTTTGCCTTTTTTTTTCTTTTTTACTTTTTTACTTTGCCTTTGTAGCACACTTTTGAGCGCATTTCGCATTTAATGCGGGCCTTTGTCTGTGTGTGTGTGTGTGTTTGTGTTTGCTTTGGCCTTTGGCTTTACTTATTTTCCAATGAATTTTTTATGCAGCATTTTTATGTTTTGTTGCCCACTTTGCATTAATTGAATTTGCTCATCACATTTTGCGCTTGTTACTTGTTTTGCCGTTATTTAAGCAGTGCGTGTGTGTGTGTGTGTGTGCGATAAGCTTTGACAGCTTTGCTGTCACATTTTGTGGCCTTGATGATGTGGCTTTGCTTCAGCTTCAGCTACAGCTCCACTGCTTCCTCTTTCCCATTGCCCATTCCCCATTATATTCGCTGTTGCTATCTCTGTCGCTCTGCTTGGCTTTGACCATCAGCCTAACGGAACGCAATGCAATTGCCGAGCCTTTTATCGATTTTTTGGCCCAACAGCTAACAACTGGGCACGTGCGAGCCAACAATAACAACAAGAACAACAACAACAACAAGTCATTCACACCACTCGACAGGCCCCAGGCATGCACACACACACACACACGCACACACATGTAAAACGAGTCGCACAGCGTCAAATTAATTGAAAAAGCAACGCCCGAGAGACGTCGCCTCAACACTCGAGTTCATAAGTAAGTGGCCCAGCGAGCCGCAGACGGCGACGTCGACGTCGACGTCGACAGCGACAGCGACGGCGACGCAGCTACCCTTCGTCCAGCTCTTAACGCAGTTGACGTGCAGCTGATTTGAGGTAGCATACTTTTGTGCTGCACTAAGACCACATAACGGACGGCTCGAAAGACGGACAGACGGACAAAGCAACAAAGAAAACAGAGCAACGCCAGCACAGGCTGCATATACCCTGCAACACAAGCACGTTCAGCTAAGCCATGAGGCTTGCACTTAAAGCCAGAAGGCAAAGTTATTGAAGAGCTCTACTAAATGTGCGGCATATTTGAAGGAATCTTTCCTTGTTGGCAAATAGCACAATTTATAAAGCAACAGCGAAGAAGAAAAAGTGACTCAGTGGGGCGTTAGCGACTGGGAGATACCCTAAGCCCAACATGGCACGTTACTAACATTCTACGAGGCGCAGGGCAAAGGTATCGGGAAAAAGTAATAGATCTCTGTATATTAAACTCTTTGTCCTGACTGACTGACCGACTGAATGACTGATTGGCTGACTGAGTGATTGACTGACTGAACGACTGACTGGTTGACTGACTGACTGACCGACTAATTGACTGACTGATTGATGGACTGAATGATTGATTGGCTAACTGAACGACTGACTGGTTGACTGACTGACTGACCGACTAATTGACTGACTGATGGATGGACTGAATGACTGATTGGCTGACTGAACGACCGACGGGTTGACTGACTGACTGACCGACTAATTGACTGGCTGACTGGTTGATGGACGGACTGACTGATTGACTGACTGACGGACTGAATGACTTAACTGATTGGCCGACTGACTGAATGATTGACTGACTGAATGCATGACTGACTGAATGACTAAATGACTAACTTATTGACCGACAGATTGACTGATTGACTGTGAGAGTTGCTCCAAAAGAAGTTGGTTTTTATCGATGTTTATCGATTTTACGGCTAAATTTAACTCGTACTCCAATCGTTATCTAACTTAGCCATTTAAAAGCTAGATTTTTGTCAATTTTCACCCAATTTGGTGTCTCTAGCTTCTATAAACTGCGAGAGTTGTGGGTCGATAACGATACTGATATCGATTTCATAGCAACCGGACATTGATTTGATATACTCGAGGCATAGCAGAATCTTACGAGTCTCTAGCTCTGGCATTGCACGGGCAGAAGGACGAACACATACAGGACGAATGTACAGTAAGACCTCATAATAGGTTTTCATTTGGACGTTTCTGGGAATGCATTTTCAATGGAAAACGTAATAAATGTTCCAGGGAACTTTTGCTTTGTGTTGCAGATGCTTCCGTTTGCTTGCTTTTTACCCAATTTCCTAGAAATATGTTCAATTAAAATAGAAATTATATTTGAAAAGTTCTCAAGTCAAATTTAAAGAATTGAAACCTGCTCAGAACGCAATCGATTTTAATAAAGAAAGTGTTTTCTTTCTTTAACTCAAGTTATTTTTGAGCTATCTTTCAGATAATTATATATATTATTTTCTTAGGGTACTTCTTGGGTCGGTGTCCATCGCGTTTGTCGCGTTCTTTAAGCGCTTTCCTTATGCAGAGCTGCCTGCATTTGAGTTTCATTGTTAAGCTTATTGTGACACAGTATTTTGCCGTATTTTCCAACATTTCGTACTCGTCATTTCCGGCACGCTGCCGGGCAAAATAACTTTTTTGACAGATTGTCGTTATTGTTGCAATCTGTCTTGTTCTTCTTCCTGTTCTTGTTCTTCTCGATGAAACAATGTGCGGCAACCATTTTTAAGGCGCTTGCAACTTTTCGCGAGACTTTCCGAGAAGCTTACAAGTTCCTTGAGCTCTTGCAGAGACAAAACTATGCTTGATGATGTTCAGTTTCTATTGTACATATATGAAAGCGAGACTCTTTCCCTTTAAATACAGCTGAGTAGTTGAAATATTGATGGAATTATCGTCAACGTTGAGCAGGTAAAAGGTTTAATTTTTTTTTTGTTTTGGAAAAGACAGCAACTGCTTTAAGGCATATTGACAGCTTGTTCAAATCGTTAATGGACCAAAAAGAAACGCAAAATGGCAATTTGTTTATGCCCTCATCTTATTTACGACTAGCAGATACCCTGTAGCTAGCAAAAAGCTGGCCTTACACAAATTCTAGCTTCTTCTTCAAACACTAAGGCAAACAGAAGAGTTGGCTGTGGCGCTTGTGCTTCTACTTGCATAACATCGATGCATATTGTCCGATCTTTATGCAATTTTAAGAGCAAGGTTATAGAACTTAAATGTATATAAATACCTACGAGCAGGGGCTTTGCTGTAAATGTTAGCTTTTCTTTTGCAATGCTTAGCGAAGTGGGGAATATATCCAAGGAAACTTGGTAATGAGCGAGTTTCGCTTAGCAAATCCTGTGGGACGATCCATATTTATCGATGTTCTGTAAATGGCTTAGTTATATACAAGACTCCAGTTCAATTGCGTTCGTGTTCGATATGGTTAAATCGAATCAGTTCGTGCTGCATATATATATATACATATACTTTATGTATACTTGATGAGCTCGCAGCTGCTTGTTTCGGCTAACTTTTTTGACACTTTAATTGGTTTGAGGGCGGAGCCAATTTGGCTTTGATTGAGACGTGATTAATTTTTAATACTTTGTCCAACATTTTGCCCAACTCTTGTCGGCCGATAAAAACGGCTATTCTGGGAACGAATTATATACGTGCCATTTGCCAGAGGCTAGTTAAATATTCATGATGCGACCAGAAATGACAGCTTAAATTAGAGCTTAAATATTTGATTTTTATCGGCAATTTGCTGTGAAGCTTGTTTAATGTGCCTTATCCAGCACTGGCTAATTGAAGAGGCCAGAAACCCTTTGCAAACAGGCTTCAGCGGCGTGGGCTTTATTGAGAGGGTTTTGCATTTAACATATTTATGTTGCGACCAGAAAAGACAGCTTAGATTAGAGCTAAAATATTTGATTTTTATAGGCAAACTTTCTATGAGTTTGTTGAAGCTTGTTTAATGTGCCCTTTCCAACACTGGCTAATTGAAGATGCCAGAAACCCTTTGCAAACAGGCTTCAACGGCGTGGGCTTTATTGAGAGAGTTTTCCATTTAACATATTTATGTTGCGACCAGAAAATACAGCTTAGATTAGAGCTAAAATATTTGATTTTTATAGGCAAACTTCCTATGAGTTTGTTGAAGCTTGTTTAATGTGCCTTATCCAACACTGGCTAATTGAAGAGGCCAGAAACAGGCTTCAACGGCGTGGGCTTTATTGAGAGAGTTCTCTCTTTTATGGCAGCATTTCATAACAACGTCGTTGACAGTGTTTTCCATTTCCCATTTTCCCATTTTTCCATCTTTTTTTCTTTTTTTTATTCTTATTTTTGTTAATGACAGTTTTGCCTTTGGCTATTTTTAACGCGGGGGCGGAAACAATTGAAATGCGTCGCATTCTCGGCTACAGCCTCTGATGACGCCAGCTCTTGAAAGGCGTTGGCGTCCTGCCTGTGTCCATTAAATGAAATTGACGACCAACTGGCAAGTGGCATGTGGCAAGTGCCACAGTAAATACACAAATATATATATACATATATATATATCTATGTATATATGTTGCAGCTGCAATTGCTCAGCAAACGTTTACTAAGCACCGCTGCCAGTTGGGGGAATAGAATATAGAAAACCGCAGCCTTGACATGATTAGCCATGGCATGTGGCATCCATGTTTGTATGGCTTTTAGCTGGGAAAGTGCATTCGGCCAAATGCCCCCACCCACACAATACAGACACGGACACGCACACAAGAGTCGCATTCCTTGCCTGGCCTTGTGGCTGCAGCATAAAAACTTTGTGCAGTAATGAAAATTGTGAGATGCAAGGCCAAAACGCAGTCATCCTTCAACCGGCTGTCGTCCTCAACCCCGCCCACAAGTACAAACAACATGTTCGAAGGGTATTACGAAGTTCTGCCCGTTTATATAAATGCTAGAAGTTGGCCTCTATGCGCAGAGTTTAGGTCCATCCATATTTATCGATTTTCAGACATGATAAAGGTAGAAAATGACATCTATGTGACGTCTTTTAGTCTATCGATAACTATCGTTTTGAGGAATTGATGAAATTGCGTTGGCTTATGTAAATGGTGGAATTTGGCATCTGTGCGATGTCTTTTAGTCGATCGATAAATATCGATTTTCAGAAATGATGAAGTTGTGCCTGCTATCTATGCGACGATTCGTGACCTACCGATAAATATCGATGTGTAGTTTTAGTCGATCGATAAATATCGATCTATGGAAGTCATGAAGTTGTGCGAGCTTGCGCAAATGATAGAATTTACATCTATGCGATGTTTCTTAGCATATCGATAAGTATCGATGTTCAGATATGATCCTTCAAGCATAGCTCGAGCTAGTTACACCAGAGAATGGGGTTTTCTAGGTTTCTTTTTGTTAAAATATATTTGGTTTTCCTAAAGAAAGAGTCTTGCACTTTGGTGTTTGCACACTTTTGATCAAGGAGAGAAAGAAGTAAAGGGAGCTAAAATGCTTGCACGGGCAGCTCAGCTTTTTGTCTAGGATATCCTCTAGTCGCCTACTCCCGACTAGTAAATATTTAGTTGCCTTGTGCTTTGGAATTATTTGTTGCGCGTTGCAAATCCCACAGTAGTTGTCCTTGAGACAGTTCCGAGCTTGTCAAGTGCCATCAAGGTCTTAACCTCTCTTGTTCCTCCTTCCGCTCTGCCTCACTCCCCCTCTCTCCATCTCTCTCTCTCTCTCCGCTCCTCGCAGCCGCATGTCAATCATGCCAAATGAACTTGCTGTCATGCCAATCATCAGAGTCAGAGCCAGAGCCAGAGCAAACTCTAAGCTCAGCTGCGGCATTTGCATGCCGCACTCGCCTTTTCCTAAACAATTTTTTCCATTTCCCGTCTTGTTTTTTTTTGCATTTCACTTTTTTTTTTCTCACATTTTTCTCATTTCCCCAAGCTGTTTACCATTCGTTCGCGGCTGACGTCAATGCGATTGGTAATTTTGCAATTTGCGTTATTTTCTAAAGAATTTTCCTTTCTGCCAGCGACATGCGCTTGGCTTCTGCTGCTGACAGCCCATCCAAATCCAAGTCCCTGCCCCCCTGGCACGACTCTCTTCTGGCAAGGTCATTAGCAGGCCAGTGACTTGATGGGTCTGGTCCTTAGAGACTGATTGGCTCGACCTGTCTGCAGTTCGTTGATTTATAGAGCTTTAAAATACAAAATAAAAAGTAATTGGAATTCCGCTGACCTTTTGCCCAACAGCAGCTGCAGGTCTCTACGATATATAATAGGTCAAACTAAAGCTGACTTCTCGAGCAATAGGGGAGCCGCTTTTCATCAACTTTTATTCAGCTTAAAGCCAATTGACGTCTTTTAGCTTTCACTTATTAAAAATACGCTGTGCGTTTATTGAGGAGAGCTTCTCTAATGCGCTAATTGGATGAAATTGTGCATTCGCAGGATTTCATATTCTCGCCCCCCATTCTGTTGGCCAGCTTAGCAATTATGGGAAATTTAATTGAGCGTTTGCTCTTGGTCAACTTCCGAGAAATCTTTTAAAATGAAAAAGCGCCAAAGTGCATTAATAAATACGGAACGCGACCGGGGGCGTAAGCCCCACTTTGCAAACTAAGCGCTTATTTATAGTTTCATAAAAAGGAACGTCCGTCAATGTCTATGGTTAATTCCAGCTATTCCCCTTTGCTTAGTTAACTGGTAACAAATAACAGAAAAGAAACTGTTTATTTATTATTTTTAAATCCCCTTTAGTTTCCAGTTTGTGTTGTGCTTTGTGCATAAGAAATGCAAATAAGTAAATAGAATAATTGAAAATTGCGGCTGCATTTGCATCAGCAACTGAGCGCTTGTTAGTTCAATGTAGATTTGAACCAGCGACTGCAAGCTTACTATTTCGACGAAGATTTGAACCAGCAACTTAACGTTTGCTAGTTCGACGCAGATTTGAGCTAGTGACTGGACGCTTCTTAGTTCGACGGAAATTTGAACCAACGACTGCAAGCTTGTTAGTTCGCTGAAAACTTGAACTGGTGACTTTACGCTTGTTCCTTCAACGTAGATTTGAACCAGATTTCAAGCAGCGTCTGCAAGCCGGTTGGTTCGAACAGATTTGAACCAGCGACTTCGTGCTTGTTAGTTCAACGCAGAGTTGAACCATCAACTTTACGCTTTTTAGTTCGACACAGATTTGAAACAGATTTAAAGAAGTAGAATAATTGATAATTGCGATTGTATGCTTGTTGGCTTGACACAGATTTGAACCAACGACCGCACGCTTGTTAATCCTATGCATACTTATTACCTTACGCTAGAAACGCACAAGCATAAGATGCCCTTAAAAAAAGCCCAGCTCTAATTAACGAAATATCTTTTTACTGAGCGAGCAGTCTATTGAATAAAATGTGTTTTGTCTCTAGAGAAATTCAACTTGAAGAAATCCAGATGAATGAACGCATAATTGTGAGAAAATTAAATTAGTCGTGTTTTGAGTTTGAATTTGATTTTATTTTGCATGTGCCACAGTCAAGGACCTGACGAATATCCATCCTTTTAGTGGTAATTGTTGGCATGAGCTTGTTTTCAGGGCTCAAATTCAATTTACGGCTTACTGAAAGGCTGCCTCGTGTGGAGCTTAACTCGATTAGCAGATATGGCTAATGGATAGAAGCTCCTGCCCAAATGGCCTTGTGAACGGCAGCCCTCTGCTCCCTCTCTATCCTCTGTTGCCTGTGCTCCCTGTGCTCCCTGTGTTTACTAATGGTGTTTATCTTTTATTTCATCTTTCACCTACCCTCTCCTCTCTCTCTCTCTCTCTCTCTATCTGTGTACTTACAGCAAGGTCCCCGCCCAAGGGTAGTGAGTAGAGCATCCCACAAAATGTCGGATCAGCAACGCGCCTCGTTATGCCCGCGACTCGTCGACTACATGGCCATTGTGGGTGCGCACACGACCCCGCCAATGCCCAAGGGCATGCAGGGCAGCAAGGCGCCGCCCGTTCAGGTGAGTCTTGTTTCTGAATGTGCCACAATGTACAAATATTCAGCTTTTATATCCCGTGCAATTGTTGTGCAAATGTACTTAATAAACGGGACGCAGACATCCAAGATCCGATTAGAGTCCATTTGGCTGCTCGCTGTGGGATCTTCTATATTATTATGATAGTCTGTTTATTTAACGTTATATTCGATAAATATCGATTTAAAGTCTTGGCTTTTGTTGGATGTGTATCTCGGAGTTTTTAATAATCGAAAACAATCGATAACTAGAATCTTGTATAACTTATGCTAAAGAAGATGTCCACTTTTGGGATAACTTAGATAGCTTTACTTGAGCAAAAGTGGTCGCCTCTCCGAATCTATATGGGAAATATACTTGGGAATTCAGAAACTAAAAGAGCTAAAAACTTGAAATTTGAAATGCGCAAAACGAGTTAAAATATCGATAAGAATCGATTTCAAGGCATGTTTCTTAAAGCAGAGAAATGTAGGTTCTCATGCAATAAAGAATGTATATTTCATGGAAAGCTACCTATAAAGTAGCCAAGCTTTTTGTATGCAAATCTCATAAAGATCGGACTTTAAGAACCGATGCCATTCAAAAATGCAGCACGCGAGCAAAGAGAAGAGGCAGAAGCACATACTATTCACTTCCAGAGCCGGTTACAGGGCATTCATTAGTCGATAAAGCTCGATTAGAACATTTTGACCTGCAATTCCCTTGACCGTATTGCAGGTGCCCGACTTGCTGCGACGCTATCCACCATCGGACCATGCGGACTTTCCGCTGCCGCTGGACATGGTCTACTTTTGCCAGCCGGAGGGCTGCACCAGCGTGGGACCGCGACGGACCGGCTCCGCCATACGGGACATGACCTCGTTTGTGTTTGCGCTAACGGACAAGGATTCGGGCAAGACGCGCTACGGCATCTGTGTTAATTTCTATCGGCCCATCGAGCGGCCCTGCTCCGCAACCGCCGCTGGCGCCGAACGTGGCAGCGCGGCTGGCAATGGAGCGCCGGGCGGACACGCTGCTGGCGTTGGCGTCGGCGGCGGTGCTGGAGGTGTGCGCGGTCGACGCTCATCGGCGTTCCGGCGGGAATCGTGGCGCAAGAGCATGGAGCGCAGCTCGGACTCGGCGTTCAGCAGGCAAGTGTGTGCGTGGCAGGCAGCAGCTGCTGCTGGTGCTGGGTGGCGGGACGCTTTTGGCTTTATTGATCTAACCGATTTCCAAACCATTTCCATAATAGTTACGGCCTCTTAACTACTTCTAGCGACTACAGAAGTAACGTAGCGCCCAGCGATTCGGATCGTGAACTGACCTCGCGTCGCGACTCTGACCAGCAGCGTCTCCATTCCCATCATTATCCGCCAACTCAAAGCTCCGGTGCTCCGGCGTCCAAGTTGGGTCTAATGGCACCCTCAGCGGATTCTGAATCCGGTGGCAGTCATTCGCCATCGCCGCGGGCCTCACGCAAGCGCACCAAGCTGCGCAATCAGTCGCTCACCTCGCTCTGCATCATATCGCATCATCCGTTCTTTACCACGTTCCGTGAGTGCCTCTTCATACTGAAGAAGCTGATCGATGCCTGCAACGAGTCGTCGTCACCGAAGCGTGTCGGCGCCTCGCAGAAACTCAATCGGGACAATGTGTGGACGGTGCTGACGGGCCATGCCAGCGAGGCGACACCCTCCATTGTGCTGCACGATGTGCGCGAGATTGAGACATGGATATTGCGTCTGCTCTCCACGCCAGTGCCGGTGCCGGGCTCTACGCGTGTCGAGGTACGTTTCAAGAGGCATATCCAACATTTTCGGACTAGACTTGTCTCAGTCTATCTAAAATGAAATCCTTCGATATGTGCTTGTTCCCATTTTTTTTAATATATGTCTTAACTAGTTTTTCAAACATATTCAATTATTATTTTTGGTAATTTTATAATCTGCCATTTATTTAATTCTTTTCATCATTTCGCAGGTGGAGGTGCTGTCGCCAACTGTTCACGAACCATTGCTGTTTGCACTACCGGATCACACACGCTTTTCGCTAGTTGATTTTCCCTTGCATTTGCCACTCGAGCTGCTCGGCGTGGAGACATGCCTAAAGGTTTGGACTTTGATCATGTTGGAGAACAAGGTGCTCTTCCAATCGCGCGACTATAATGCTCTCTCCATGTCGGTAATGGCATTCGTGACCATGCTCTATCCATTGGAGTATATGTTTCCAGTGATACCGTTGCTGCCCACATGCCTCAGCTGCGCCGAGCAGTTGCTGCTCGCGCCCACGCCCTTTGTCATCGGTGTGCCAGCCTCTTTTCTCATCTATAAAAAGAACTTTAGGTACGGATTGTGTCCTCCGGGTGGTGCATCGTAGCGCCCGGTAGTGCCGTTTAATGCTGCGCAAGGCTACCTAATGCCTGGTAGTTTCCGGTACAGCCCTGTAATGCCCGGCATAAGTTGCAGTATCGGTAGTTTCGGGTAGTACCGGCAGCGTTCGGTAGTGCCTGGTAGTGCCCAGTACTGGAACTGTCTGGTGTTGCCCGCTAGTGCCTTGTAGTAACTGGTAGTACGGGTAGTGCCTGGTAGTGTCTTGAAGTACCGGGTAGTGTCTGGTAGTACTTGATTTGCCGGTACTACCGAATGATTTCTGCTAGGGCCCGGTATAGCCCATAAGTGCCTGGTAGTACTTGGTTTGCCAGGCTCTACAGGATGGTTCCTGCTAGTGCCCGGTATGGCGGGTAGTGCCTTACAAATACTTATGTAAATCAAAAACTTGCAGGCTGCCCGATGACATTTGGGTTGTGGATTTGGATTCTACCAAGCTGACGCCACCAACAGGTGGATACGATGAGATACCTCCATTGCCGGAGCCCGAGGGTACCATACTGAAGAATCATCTGAAACAGGTAAGCCCCTTGTTAGGATGGTTGTAATTAAAAATACATGGACATGCATTAAGATTTCTGTGCATCCATATAGTTGACTGGGGCACCATTTAATTTTGTTGCGACAACTACTTAATCGTGTTTAACTGATGTGATTGAGATGTGTGAGTGTGTGTGTTGGTGTGTGTTGGTGTGTGTGTGTGTGTGTACGTGTGTGTAGGCTGGTGCGACCATGTCTATAGGGTCTGCTCTAGATTCTTCTTGCAGGCCTTAAGTAACTGCATACCCTTATCGTATAGGGATAGATTAATGCCCTTTAGGGCCTTCTCCCTATGCAGAAAGCGCTCGAATTTGTCGTACTCGTTGCGCATCTTGAAAACAATATCTGGTAGCATGCCCTGCACCTTCTTTACAACCTGCATTTGCACGTGTATGCGATTATCTTTGGCACCCTCGCATTTGAATCTCTCGAGGCGTAGCTGCTCCATGTCTCGCTCGTGCTCATAATGGAGCTTCTGTTGCAGCAGATGCTCCAGCACGGAGCTATACACCACCAGCTGATCCAAGCGTGGATCCATGGAGTTTGGCACTTTTCGCATGCTTTCTGCATTCCGGAGAGATTGCGTCACTTCTGTAGACATGGTCGCAATTTTTTGTCTCGGCATTTTTAATTGGCTATTTTCTGTTGTTTTATTGATTTTTTTTTATTATTTTTTTTTATTGGCTTAAAAATCGGGAAACAAATTTTCCGATGATAACAAATCGAACCACAAACGAAATTTCCTAATAAAACTATGCAGCAGAACGGAAACGAGGGGGCAAATAAAAACTGGCAAACTGACAGCTGAGTCGTGCACAACTTTCAAACACAGGTCCAAAACGTCAACAAAACAAAACTGGATCCAATATTCAGAATGAAAACTTTGTCTTACAATAATTTACTGCAGCAATTAATTATGATTTGTGCCCAGGGCAATTAATTGGTTCAGAATTTCCGATTCTGTATAATAAACATAAATATTATTGATTAGGATTTAAATATTTATAATATATGTTAGCTCAGTTAGATTGAGATTTATTAAGTTTTATTTAAGCACAAAAAGAAAAAGGCAAATGTCAGGAGCTTATCTTCCCCGACTAACAGTCTCTCTTTACCCAGTAAAGGGTATTCAAGTTTTATCATGAAGTGTGTAACACATAGAAGGAGGCATCTCCAAACCCATAAAGCATAAATAGTCTTAGATCAGCATCAACAGCCGAGTTGTTATAGCCACATCCGTCTGTCTGTCTCTCAGATTTAAAGCTAACTTCTTAAAGTACAGTACAGTTGGGAAAATCGGCTGCCATAGACAAGATCGGTCTGTTTATCAAGATATCTTACTCGACATTTATAAGTTTAACTAGGTCCCATACATATATGCAAAATCATATCAACATCAATTCAAGATATTTTCCCGCGATTCGCACATATCTGTGTAAAGCAAGGGAATTTAATCTTCGGCGTGCCGAAGATATACATAATTACTCGTTTTAACTTTCATTTAAATCAGTTTAATTGAGGCGACGCCGGGTAATTTCTTTAAGTGTATATATCTTACATGTACATATTAACACATATTGTTGTCTTTGGGTACAGGGTATCTGCTAGTTGTGATAATACTTAAATGGTTAATTGTGTGATTGTTAAAACACTTCCCGATGCTCGATACACGCATTTACTGATTTAACATGTCTTATTTAATCTTGATATAGGCTTTGATTGTCTATGTAAAATGGAGCTCAGCTCTGTTATGCGCCTGCTTCGAATGTTATAAAAAATATCGATATATTTTCGATTCGAAGCGCGCATATCGTTAGTCAAACGGTTAACCGTTGATAAATGTATTATTTAATTTATCGCCTCTTTCCCACACTTTTGTATGACTGTGCTCTCTCTCTATATATATATCTACATATTTAATACTGTATTAAGAAATGTCTATATCGCCTTGGAGTCACACTTACAGAGCCGTCCATGATTTAAACATAACTCGTTTTATATATTTATAATATATTTGTTTGTATACTTTTGTATTCATTTCGAACACTTTTTCGATACTTTTATTGCTCTCTCTTACTCTCTCTCTCTCTCTCTCTCTCTCTCTCTCTATCACTCTCTCGCCCACTCTATATTTGTGTCTATCTTTTTGTGGCTTTTACTTCGCTAATGCTGTACTCTATTCTACTTCTAACAATCATGCATTATCTGTTATACGAATTTCTTAAACTTGTTCACAACTACAAAAATAACAACAACATCAACAACAACAACAACAACAATAAAAACAACAACAACAACAACAAATGCAGGCTATGCTACTTATGGATGAAGCTGGACTTGGTGTAAATATCGTTCACATTTAACATATGTTAAATAACATTTCTTCCTTGGTTCTTATAACATTTTCTTATGATTATCATTTGGTTTTGAGTTGAAAGCGTTTTGTACATAAGAACTACTAAAAATACTACTAATACTATGAATTGTTGTATACTAAACATAACATAATAACATATTAAATGGTATTTAACTAATCTATAATACATACATTTAAACGCATGCAGACAGTCACATTATGCATAGAACATAACATTTAACTTTAGCTAACATAACTCATGCGTATGGGCATTTCCAGAGAGGGTTCCACCACAATCAAAGTCCAAAAGAAAACGTATTTTTCTCATAGAGAAACAAATCTACAGTTAACAGTTGTAGCAAAAGATGTCACTTAACATAGTTAACAAATGTTAAACATGTTAAAAACCCATTCATACGTCTAATCTATATTTAGAACCAGCTCTTACACATCTTTCGGTTCAAACCTAAGTTTGAACCATTTATTGATTTTTTTAACTTTCTTTCTAAATTCTTTTCTATCTGAATGAGAATCAGAATTAATCATATTGAACTGAAAATATCTGCCAGAAGCTAAGAACTTTGGTATCTTTGTAGTATCCACCTAAAGTGGTATCCAAATGGATGATGCTTCAATTTTATAATAATGTTTTTACATATTAAACTTGAGAAGCATTAGAGAAGACTCAGCATTTGACTAACCACAAAGTTTTCCTGATCATTCATCGATTTGTGGCCCTGGAAATGCCTATATGTGCTTAGGCTAGCTCTTTGCAAAAATAAATCTCGCTACATTGCTGAGCTCTGACTGGGGCCTAGCCCAGTTATTGGCTGTCTCTCTTAGCGACTCTCTCTTCCGTCTTCGTGTTCCTCATGTGTGCATGCTCTATGTGTATAAGCTTCTCGTTGTAACTAGTTATCCCTAAAAAGGCCCTAACTCTTGCCGCTCTATTGGTCTAACCCATCCTAATAGTTAGCCCTGTTGAAGTTCCAGCCTAGTCAAGTTTTTTATACAGCTGGGTTTACTAAAGCGACATTTTTTCTTTCGATTCCTTGCGACAGGCTTTAACCTCGATGACGGCCTCCAATCAGGCTGTATCCTCGCAGCAGCTGTTGCCCTCGGTGCGCGATTGTCTCCAGGAGCCGCCACTTTTGGGGTGAGTTCTGAGTGTGTTGAGCATGTACGGCGGATCACCGTTTCTAATCGACATCTGTTCAGGGTCTCGCAAGTGCGTCTGCCGTTGCAAACGCCTCCACATTCGGCACAGGCCAGTCAACGGAACTCGATGTCCGCGCAGGGCGCAATGTTGTCCCGGCAGCCCAGTCCAATGAATTCGCCGGCACTGAATCCCTTTGTCTACGGCACCGACGTCGATTCGGTGGATGTCGCGACGCGTGTGGCCATGGTGCGCTTTTTCAATGCCCAGAATACCCTGGCCAATTTTGCGGAGCATACGCGCACGCTGCGTCTGTATCCACGACCCGTTGTCGCCTTCCAAATCAATAGTTTTCTGCGTTCAAGACCGCGCGCCTCCTCGTTCCTCAATCAGTTTTCGCGCACGCAGGCTGTGGAATTTCTGGCGGAATGGTCCCTAACGCCAACAAATGTCGCCTTCCTGCGCGTACAGACGGGCGTCATGGACCCGATGCAGGTGGGCGATAAGCCCAAATGGTTTGCCCACTCCCTGACGCCCATACGCTTCTCGGTGTGGGATGATGGCAGCTCGCTGAATGGTGCATTGCGCTCCTTGAAGCAGCTCGAGTGCCAGCCAACGGATGAGAGTGGCTCGGATTCGGAGGGTGCTGACAGCAGCAGCTCCTCGTATAGCTCACTGAGCGATTTTGTCTCGGAGATGGCCTCATCGGATTTGTCGCCCAGTCTGCACGATGTTTTTGGCTCCTACAATCGGCCGCATGTCGTGCCGCAGACATTGTCCTCGAATCTGGATCCGGCACTGGTCTATCATCCGCCCAGCAAGCTGCAGTATCCGGAGGGTTTGGCTGGGCCAGCGGCCAGCAAGGGGGATGAGGAGCGTGCCGATTCGCCGGTATCTTCCTCATCCAGTCGCTCGGACCTGAGCTCGCCCAGCTTCAATCGCGACTCGGAGTTTGATTTTCAACCCAAGTCCGGTCAGCAGCCGGCGCCGGGTGCCTTTGAGCTGGCCACACCGCTGGCCATGCGTCTCGAGGCGACAATTAAGATGGCCAGCCTGGAGGCCGAATCGGATACAACCTCCACGGTCACAGGCAAGACCATACCCAGCAGCAAATTGCAGCGCAATACCAGCGATGTGGAGCGCGCCGAGAAGAAGATACCGGTAAGCGAAAGATCTTTCCAGTTTTTGATAAACCTAACCAAATTCTTGTTTCCTTAGCCACCGCTGACGCCGCCCGTTAAGCAACCGAGTGTCACCAATATATTGGCTCGAACCGGCAGCTCTGGCTCCAGTTCGAGCAGTCCGGGTCGCCAGAGTTCACAGAGTTCCCTATTCGAAAACTTTGCATCGCACGCCAAGGAGCTGGTGCGTGAGACGACGCGCCAGAGCAGCCAGGAGGGTCTGTTGGCCCATGTGGACAAGGTGAGTTGTGTCCGTAAGCAAATTGATATATATATATATGTTATATACATATATATATATATATATATATAGAATTGAATGTGCATCCATTGTCGGACTCAATGTGTGTTGTTGTGCTCTCTGTTGTTCATCTACTTTGATACTGTGATAAACGTAATTCGAAATTCGATTAACGATTAACGATTAATCGAAACGTTTCTCATCGATATCGATATCGATCAACCAAATCGATAATCGTAACATAATCGCACGTTCTATGTGTCTACTTCAATGTAAACCAATGTATAACTAAGTATAGCATGCACAGGACGAAGATCTAGATGATAAAATGCGTCACACCTTCGAAAAGGTTGGTACCCAGCCACTCGCACACTCGCCCTAACCTCTAAACATATATAACATCAACAAACACACAGACACACGCACACGCACACGCACGCACGAGCATTGATAACACCTTCTGCCCAGGCCCAGGCCCATAATTAAAGAATTTATAGTTCGGTTTAGGATAGCTTTGGTGTGGTGGCAACCCTATAAATGGCAAATCCAAATTCATAACTTAAAAAAAAGTTACACCAAGAAAAGATTTAAATGAATCAACTGTTACAGCATGGTGACAACCCTGTTTTGATTTGAGCTGCAAATTTGGAGGACGAACTCCCATAGATAAGATGAAATAATTTTATACAGGGATTTCAGGAATGTACTTGAAATTGTGTATAATCAACTGAAATGAAAACGATTTAGATAACATGGTGGCAACCCTGATTTGAATTAAATCTGTTAAACTTAAGGGGATTTCTCTACAGGCGTTCAAAAGATTAAAATAAAACCGGATAGGCAATCAATAGTATAAATTCTGAATTAAATGGAAACTGTGTAAGAATGGTGACAACCCTGTTTTAATTTGCAATGCAAATTTGATGGAGACACCTCCATAGACATACATTAGATAAGATACAAGTAAGCTATGGCGTTTCTCCATAAACGAATGGAAGAGAAACTGTAACATAGGGTGACAACCCTGTTTTGCAATAGAGCCACAAAGCTGTGGGATGTAACTCCAAAGCTAAAAGTGAACTATGAACTGTAAAGGACTGAAGAAAATAGATTTTTTATGTCACCGCACCACAAAAACAAAAAAAAAAAAAAAAAAGGCAGCTGTCAACCCTAGTACCACTGTAGCTTGTAGATTGCATAATATTGCTGTAGTTAGTCGACCTTGCTGTCATTATACTGCACTCTGCGCTGTTGTTCTGTAGTAACTCTCAAGTTATACCTTGCGTAGTGCCCGAATTGATATGTTCCAAGGTTGGACTAATTAGATTTAATGCTCTGATCCTCACAGTTTACGCTGCACGCCAAAAAGGCGGCTGGCGAGGCTTCCAAGCAGGCGCTGGAGGTGTCCAAGCAGGCGGCTGGCGTTAGCAAAAACACCTTGGAGGATCTCACCTATGTGGGCAAATCAACGCTGGGTGATCTGACAAAGACGGCCAAGGAGGCGGCCACCAAGAAGGGCATCATCAAGATCGAAGAGCACGGCACGGCTGCGTCCAGCAATGCACCCGCAATGCCCAACTCTCAGCTGGCCACACAGAAACAGGTGCAGCAAAGCGGCTGCGGCGGTCCGGGCAACAATTTTTTTTCCTCAATTGGCACCGATTTCAATGGCCTGGCCTCCACCACAACGACCATGTTCTCGGGCATGTTTGGCAAGAGTAAGTCCGGCATTGATGCCGCCGCATTCCAATTCTCAGCTCATGTTTCCCACACGCACAGAGAACCAACAGAAACAGGCGGCGGTGCAGCACAAGCCGTCCAATATGGGCGGCTCGAAAAACAAGGCGGGCAGCAATTTTGATCCATTTCCCAGTCGTAAGGGTCTGGTGGAGCGTACGCCGCTCATAAAGCATTCGGGACCGCGACAAACCCAGGAGGATCTGACGCGCCAACAGAATCAGGAGCGTTCGCACAGCAATGCCGAGAATCAGGCATTCCTCAAGGATGTCACCAATCAGGTGCTCGCCGGCGAGGGTGTCGGTTGGCTCAAGCTCAATCGCTTCAAGAAACTGATGGAGGATGAATCCTATCGCACGCTCGTGCTGAGCAAGCTTAACAAGACGCTAGACAAGAAGATAGCACCCGATGATCATATTGACGATGTGGTACGTCAGAAAATGTCCCAAGTCCAAGTTCCATCTTCTAATTCTAATTCTAATTCTAATTCTATTCCATTTCCGTTTCTCAAATAGTGTGTGACCAAGCCCGTGTGGAAGGGCATGTTAAAGTGTGTGCAGGCAATTGCCGGCGGCCTGGACGCGACCTTTAGCAATTTTGGTCTCGGCGGCATGGCCTCTGTGTTCCAGCTAATGGAGGTGGCGCACACGCACTATTGGAGCAAGGAGATCAATGAGGGCAGCGACATGTCGTCCAGCTTGTTGTCGAGTCATGCGGCTAGTCCCATGGGCAGTCGTGAGAATCTGCGCTCACCGAGCAGTCCGAATGGCTCACATTCGGGTCTGGGCAGTGAGTGGGCCTCGCCGCAGGAGTCGCGCAAGAGCTCAACCCATACGGCCCTGTCGGCCACAACGGCAGCGGCGGCAACAACAACGGCCGCCGCCCGTCGTCTGTCCTCGGCGGACAGCCAGGATGGGCAGTCGACCACCGAGATGTTCAAGGATATGTTGTCGCAGAAGAGAAGTGCCTTGAAGAATATGCTCACCTCGTTCGATTCTGATGTGAGTGTGACAATTGTAAAAGCTTACAGTATTCAATACTCGTTAGCTCAATCATTCAATCATAGCTGCCACGCCCATGCCCATGCAAACGCCCACGCCCACGCCCATGTCCATGTCCATGTCCATTTATGCCGTAGTCAGTATATCAATGCCGTAAACCATCGTATGCCAATATCGTGCATCGCTATCGTAATCGTAATCGTAATCGTAATCGTTATCGTTGTCTATATATCGTATATATCTATATATATATATATATATATAATTATATATATAAATGTAGCAAGCGCTTATCAGCATATTAATAATATATCGTAGTCGCATAATCGGGCCACGCCTCGAACTTCAATCAATGCTCAATGTCGGCCTGCTAAAAATAATCGTATATCGTCTATCGCAATCAATACATAACGTATATATCGTATCGTATCGTATTGTAATTCGTAGGCTGCTGGCTCGACGGGCGCGCTATCCGTGGTCAGTGATCTGCTGCCAGCTGGCAGTCTGAGCGTCCGCATGCCATCCAGCTGCCGTTCCACAGTCTCAGACACCGAATACGAAAATGTAAGTACACAGCTCGATGACCCCGATCGATCGATTAATCGATTAAACGATAAATAATAATCCACCAATAAATCGATACGTTCAACTTGTCTCAGTCCCCGCCCAAATAGCCCACAAGGAGGCCAATTATCAGCTTGTCAACTTGTAGTCGGTTGTTTTTCTTTTGGCTCGAGATCTGCACCGATCACCAATATATATATATATAAATATTTATATAAATAGATATCTGATTTATCTGCCTTGATCTTGATCATTGTCGGTGTTCTTTCACAGACCACCACATCGAAGGATTCGAAAAAGAGCACCGGAAATTTGTGGTCCGGCAAATCGACGCTCAGCGCCGGTTTTCGCTATACGGGCGGGCATTTGATTAACACCTCATCCTCACCATCGCCGGACAGTCCACGGGTATATCTATTTGAGGGCCTTTTGGGCAAGGATCGCCTTAATCTGTGGAATCAAATGCAATTCTGGGAGGACGCCTTCTTGGATGCGGTCAGCCAGGAGCGTGATATGATCGGCATGGATCAGGTGAGCCGAGCTTTATCGAAATATTTGTAGAGATATTTTTGATCGTCGCATGAAGGAATTCTTTTCTTCTAGTTACATGTGCAATTGTTGTTCTTTTTTTTCGATCTTCAAACAAATTTTCCATGATCAATGTGAAAATGCATTTCATTCAGGTTTCATAGATTTTGTCAAATTCACCTCACAAGGTGGATTCGGTATATCAAGGTTTATATTGAATTCCACCTCCCAAGGTGGAAAATGGAATTTCGGGATTGTGTGAATGAAAGTAGTATTTTCATTGGATTAAGCTGATTTTTAGTTTTAGAGCGAATTATTCATGGAACCTGTTTATGAAACAAAGCCGAGTAGGATTCACTTCCCTAGGCGGAAAATGCATGGAAAACTTGAAATAAATTTCATTATAATATGCATATGTTCTATTTTTTCATTTAGGGTCCCATCGAGATGATGGAGCGCTACAAATCGCTCAGCGAATCGGAGCGTAAGCGTTTGGAACACGATGAAGATCGCCTGCTGAGCACCATGCTCTACAATCTGACGGCAATATTGGTGATGCTGAATGTGAGCAAGGATGAGATTCGACGCAAAATACGTCGCCTGCTGGGCAAAAGTCATATTGGGCTTGTCTACTCGCAGGAGGTGCACAATGTGGTTGATCAGATTAACAATCTGGTGAGTTCTTCTTTCAATCCCATATGCCCTGAACCTAGTCAAAACTGATTAAAGGCAGCATCTTTGGCTTGATCAGATTGTCGGACGAGTCGAATGAGTCCTGATTGACTTTGGGAACTGCAAAAGCTGCAGATTTATAATTTTATATATCAATTTGCCTAAAGCAAATGCATCATATCATGTCATATTTAATAACATAGTCTTTTGAGCATAGCTCGAGAATTTAGGGAGCTAATTAGGTGAAACTTGTTAGAAAGGTACTTCAACACTTTGCATTAATTGAAAATGTTTCATTGATTGAATGCACTGATAGATATTGGGATAGGCAACGTTCAGGCTATTTATTTATTTATTTATTTACCCGCTTTACAGAATGGCAATGACATTGATCTGAAGCCTCTGGGCTCCCGGCTGTTGCATCGCCAGAGCTTTACCGTACACCAGGGCGTCGATGTGAATGGACCGTTGCGTTTTATGGAGGTGCGCGACGATGGCCTTGTGCTGCGCTCCGTGGACGGTACAATTGTGGAGCGCTGGTGGTACGAGCGTCTGGTCAATATGACCTATTCGCCAAAGACCAAGCTGCTCTGTCTCTGGCGACGCAATGGCGGCCAAACGCAGCTGCATAAATACTACACGCGCAAGGTGAGAATCGCTCGACATATCTTTACACATACATATACATATATTAATATATATATCGCATAATGCTTATATCCAATTGTGTGTGTACAGTGCAAGGAGCTGTATAATTGCATTAAGGAGGCAATGGAGCGTGGCGGCACGCCCACAAATGTACCCGAACTGGGCGGTGAGTTTCCGGTGCAGGACATGAACACGGGCGAGGGTGGACTGCTGCAGGTCTGTCTCGAGGGTGTCGGTTTGTTGTTCTCCAACAGCAAGGTAAGTGTTGTCGTCTTGATCTCTTGATTACGCACACACACACTCACACACACGCACACACACGCACACTCATAGACACACGCACACACACGCATACAGACACACACATCTACATCTACATCTACATCGACATCGACATCTACGTCTACATCTACATATACCTCGCCGCTCTCTAAAAATACTCGTTTTGTGTACAACTCTCTGCATTTATATAAAAAGCCATAAACATATATAAGCATCAAGTCCACCCGCCGGCCCACTAAATCTCCCATATCTCCCAAATTTCCATCTCCCAAACCCAAGTCAGAAAAAAAAAAGAATCGAGAAAAAAGGGACACATATTCACATTTAATGAAATGTCTACCCAAATTCATTTCAAAATCTTCCACACGCTCTCTCTCTCTCTCACCCTCACTCTCTCTCTGTCTCGCTGTCGCTCTGTCTCTCTCCCCCGTCCTTGTGGAGCCAGAAAGTTCCCAGCTGTTCACATAACTACAGACATTTACATACATAATATATGTACTTATCACTTATGTATATCCGAAATCTATATACAAGTACGATATGCCCGGGCAATTGGTGTTGGTTTTTTTTTTTGTTTTTCCGTTTTTCGTTAGTTTTTTTTTTTTCTTGTTTTGGGGGCGTGTCACAGCCTCAGCGTCCACCATTTGCCGCAGGCCATCCCCTTGCCCATCGCAAAGGTTCAAACCCCAAAAATGTTTCGCATTTGCGTCCATAAGTTCTACTTATATATCAGATATATATTTATATACATATCTATATAAATATATATATATATACGACTAAAAAAGTACAGTACAAATTCAATATGAAGGATATACATACTCAAATACTTGTACTCAAATTTTGGGCCAATTTTTTTTTGTGCTTTCGTTTTCGTTTTCGTCTTAACACTTCTTTTCGATTATTATTTTGCTTTCGATTTGCCTTGGTTTGCCTTTGTCATTTGGTTCATTCGAATTTCCCTTTAGACATACCCTTTACTTTATTGATCTACTTTATATTCGTTTTGCCTTTGTTTTAGACAAGGACCTTCTCAATAGTTTGCATTATGATTTCTGAACTATCACAAATAGGTTAGTTCCTAAGCATAAGTTAGACTGCCCTTCAAAAGTACTTCACAATATACTTATATATTAGCTTCACGCAGTTGCTTGTTTTCGGAACGTCTTGGAAGTACAGTCTTGGGCATTATAGCTGGACGATCTGCTGGGTCAGTCAACTGTTTCGTAGTACCCCAACAAAGGCCCAAGGCGAATGGCATTCAAGAAATTGAATATACATATATATCTCAAGTAGCTTTGCATAAATCTCTGAAAATGTTAGCTTACCCGCCCCACTATCCCGTTTCATATTTGATATATATTTCAATATTGTTTTAAGCAGATTTTTTCGTTATTTGTTTCTTTATTTTTTTTACTGTTTATCTTCTTGTTTCGTGTTTTATTTGCATTCATTCACGTACCCCTCTTACCCCTAGCCATCTTACCCCAAACAATTATCATTATATATATATATATATATACACACATATATATATATATATAGAAAATGAACCAAACTTTTACATTTCGAAACTTTCGCTCGTTTCGGTTTTCTTTGCTTTCATTTCATATGTTTTATTTGTCTCGCCCTCTTTTTTATACTTATTTACTTATATAATGTGAGAAAACGAGCGGTACCGAATCTTTAATCCAATATTAAGACAAACCACTCGAACGAAATAAAAAAATATATGAAAAAAAAGAACAACAAAATAAATAAATAAAAGAAATCCATATATCATATAATCCATATATTGTGCTAGTGAATGTACTGAATGCTATATTCATTATACTCTCTCTACTTTATTTTTATTATCCTAACCAATTGAACACATTTTCTTATGTCGACTTATGATTACGCTTACGATTTTGATATCATTGAGCTGCGCCATTTTGTTTTTACTTCTATTTTGGTCTCTTCTTCTTTTCTTTGTTTTTTCTTTGTCTAAGGTTTTTTTTTTCTAACAATTGTTCTTGATATTTATTATATCGCTCTCGAGCGATATCCGATAATTCTACATCATTGCCATCAAATTTTTCTGCAAATTCTTTTCGCTACTTTTTTGTAATGTATACAATTTTTGATTATGAAAAATAAATTTAAAAAAAACCACAACTACTACAAACAATATATATATATATATATATATATATATGTATATATATATATATATATATATTTGATAGGGCTATATATATATATTTAAAGTTAAGATACGCTCAGGCCCCAAAAAAAAAAAGTGAGAAATCGTTGTGTGAATGGGGTTATGATTATTTTTGGTTATCGCTTTTCAGTTTTTGCGCTGTATGAAAGCTAACGGTAGCTAAATACCGTTATTTTGAAACTGTTTTTCATATTGCGCTATGTGAAAACAAACAGTAGCTAATTACCGTTATTAACTGTGCATACAACGCGCTGCGCTCTTTCGTATGCTGTTGCCGAAGAGAGCGAGAGAGCATGTCTGCGTGTCTGTGTGTGTGTGTGTGTGCGAGCGTGTCGGCAAGCCGTTTACCGTTAAGTGCTTTCTTTCCATTAATCTCTTTTGTCAATGTTACCCCAATTATTTTTGAAATTTTTGATTTGTTTGGGTTCTCGCTACATTTGAAATCCTGGAATATGACCACATCTTGGAGTAGGCGTATTATCCCCAACCCCTCAAAAAACAAGTATCTAAAGCTAAGAAACGTATATATATATATTAAAAAAGAGAAAGAATATAAAAAAAAAAAATAAAAAAAATACCAGTTGTTTTTGTGCATATACCAAAAACTGGTCGCTTTTGAGATGGTCCTTGTGTATATTTGCAGTTTATCGTTTGTCTCTAGAGCTTCTTTATTTTCAATTCTCTTTTCATTTGCTCTTCATTTTTGGTATTTATTTGGTATGTTTGGTATTTTTATAACTACCTCTGTCTATCTCTCTCTCTCGCTCTCTTCTTCACTTGTCTCTCTCTCTCTATCTCTCTTTCTTATCTCGATTGTTTGTTCGCTTTTTTACAGCTTCAATTTGTAATTTCGTTTGCTTATTTTACTTTGGTATTTTCAATGCGTTTTTCTTCTACTCAATTTGCTTTACTTTTCTTATGTACGAGTAATAAACCACAACAACAACAACAGCAACAACAACAAATAACTAAGATTTAGCTGTCCTACCAAATGTCCCAATTTCCAAAATAAAAAATAATAAATAATTAAAAAAAAACTCTACACAACAACAACAACAACAACCACATTTCATATCGTTTCTCCTTAGTGCTACAAAAACCAAAAAAATACCAAAAAATACCAAAATTCGCTAGATATGCTATTTCCAAAATTTTGCAAACAGTTACCAAAAAAAAAAACCCCCCCAAAAAAAAAACAAAAACAATATAAATATATGAAAATCATCTAAAATTAAATTAAAATGCGTTTTGTCAACTTTCTTTTTATAATTTTCTTTGTTGTTTGTTTAATGTTTTTTGTCGTACGTGGAACGCTGCTCCGTTGCTCTCCCATTTTGTGGACTTTGATTCAAACACACACGTTCCCTACGAATCGAATCGAAACGTTACGAATAATTCCAATGATTGGTCTGCCTCTCTTACATGCCAAAAATTAACAAAACCAATAAAAAAAAAAAAAAAAAAAAAACAAATACCAAAAAAATACTTGAAAAAAAAAAACAATACTAAAAACATTTATGAACTGAATATGTCGTTTACGATAAAGGATTTCGAGGTATTGCAATGAACAAATTTCTTGTTATATTTGAACTTAAATTTTATATAAGCAACTATTGTTCTTTAAGCCCTGCTCCCTAATTTACTTAACCAACAACATTTGCGTTTCATTCAATTCAAATAACAATTTCATTTTGTGTTCGTTTCTTTTTTGTGTTTTCCAACACCTACTTCACTATTTTCGTTAGCAAACACTTGATTTTCTTTTGTAAACACCCACGCAAAAAAACGAATAAAAACCTAAAAAAAAAAAAACTACAACAAATGGCATACAACAGTTAAAGAACCCTATACAAAAAAAAAAAAATTTAAATCTAGTAGTAGATACATTTGATTCGAAATAATATATATATAAAAAATTATGTATATTATTTGTAAGCTTTTACGTTCTGAAATTAATTTATAATCGAAATAGTTGGCTGGATGGTTGGTTTGTTTGTTACGTTTGAAACAGAGCCGTAAACTACTTGTTGACGTTTCCCCACACTCATTTTACTTTCTGATCGAATTGAACGATATATATCGTGTACATTTCCATTTGTTTCATTTCTCACAGTTTTTCTCATATTACGTTTCCGTTTCCGTTTCAATTTCATTTCGTTTGCGTTTCAATTCCAAATACGAATACTGCATATACATAGCGGGCGTTTGGAACGTTTTGGAACTAATACATCAACTAGATATATATATATATATATTTATATATTTTATTGTGTGTGTTGTTCTACAGTTTTTAGTTCTACTCTCTCTCTCTCTCTCTCTCTTTCTATCTATCTCTCTCATTGTCTGTCTATCTCTCTCTCTCTCTCTCTACACACACACGCACACATACTCGAAGCAGGCTACACTTTTGGGGGTTTACTCAACCAGTTTGCAGTTTCAATAACTGCTCGATTCATTGCTATCAATATCGACAACGATAACCATATTTCCATTTATTTTCTATGTTTCCTTGTCAGTCTGTTTGATCTAGAAAATGCTGGAACTTAACGCAAGTTTGCGCTTTTTACAATCTGGTTGCTTAACCCCTCACACACACACACACACCCAACAAAAATCAAGTGCATATAGGTTTTTTGAATGTACCTGCAGAGGGTAGTGAATGTGCAGCATTTAGAAGAAGATGTCTTCAATTCCAGAATTTATATCTATATATATATGTATATATCACATATATATCTATCAGTCGAGTCATGTCTCTCTGCCTAGTTCTTAGCGAACTAATTGCTTAGTTCTCAAAACTATTTAGATGAAATGTCGCATAGCTCTTTCTGTCTGTTCCATACAGTACATATAATGAGGTCCAAGCGGAATCGGAACACTATAGCATCATATTTTCGATTAGCCTTATTTCTTTAGGCGTGTCTGTCTGCCTATTCGAACTAATCGTTCAGTTCACACAGCTATGTAGATGAAACTTTGTATTGCTTCGTTTCTATGTTGTTCGCAGTCAATATGCCGGGGACCAAGTGGAATTGGAACATTATATTCTCATAATCACGATCGCTCGCGTCTATATACGGATGTTTGTCTGTCTAGTTCAATGCTAATTAATCGCTTAGTTCTTAAAGCTATCCACATATCCATGTATGCACATCTTCCTCTTTCTGTTGCGGAACATACATACATATGTCGAGGCCCAAGCGGAATCGGAACATTATATTATGATATTCGCGATCTATCGAGTCTTCGTAGGCTGAACTTATTAATCAGTTCTCAAAGCTATCAAGATGCAATTTTGGATAGTTTCCTCTTAAATGTCGAGGTCCAAGTGGAAATGGAACATTACATATGCTAAAATTCTTGTGTGACAACCTCATTAGTCTTTCATATTATCGCGATCAAAGTCTGCACTCACGAGCCTGACCAAGCTCTATGCTTATGATCTATATCTGATCCATATCGGTTTACTATATTAACTAGGTAGAATCGGTCGAAAAATTGATTTGTTATATGAAAAACTTGTACGTATTTGATGAGCAGCAAACTGGGAAGCTTTAGAATCGAGCTGAGATTAAAAGTATATCCAAATGTCTGCAAGGGTATTAAAACTTCGGCTAGCCGATGTTTTGCTGTTCTTTCCTCCGAGTGTGTTTTGCTTATGATTTGGCACTGTTTAGCGTGCACTTGCTCCTTGAATGTTTCAATAAATACAATCACAACACATACCTTTACACCTTAAACTCACACACACACACACACACACACAGTTCTATCTGTCCTACTCAACAGACTTTGTTCACAATTTCCTATATATATAACTTCCATAGTTTGTAGCCGTAGCCGTAGCCGTAGCTGTACGAATGCCCAAATTAGTTGGGACTCGCATTAAGTAGGAACCGCTTGGAAACCGAAACCGGGCCCAAGTTTCCATTTGGAAAAGTTGATCTAGCAAAATGTTTGTTCGGCTTGCCGTACAACGAATATTTGAAGCACTTACGATACTAATTAGACGGCATGTAGCTTCACGTTCTGCTAGCATCTTTCATTAGTTAGTTCGTGTTTTTGGTAGAACTCAAATCTCAGTAAATCTCAAGACACTTGACTTTAGTTTTGTTTATCTCTCGCTTGCTCTTTAAACGAAAACCCCACAAAAAAAAAAAAAAACTCAAATAAATAAAGTTAAATAATAGAAAAAAAAAACAATTATTTTATATTTATAATTTTGCTTGTGTAGTTTTAGTTTCAAAAGCAAAATGTAGTTCTAGTTTATAAAAAAAAAAAAAAGAATAACAAAAAATGCTGTCAACTAGCAAACTTTAAACTTTCGCATATTGAAGAAAACGAATAATTGTTTTCAACAATATGAAATGACACTCGTTTGCGCTTAATTTAATATTTGTTTTAAGCTCTTGCTAGTGCGAGCACTTGCCCTCTCATTCTTACTCTTGCTCTCGATCTATCTCTGATTGTTAAAGTTTCGCTCTATCTGTCTCTGTCTTACACTTACTCTTACTGTGTTCCTTTCTCTGTCTTACATTCTCTCTTACTGTGTTACTTTCTCTGTCTACATTAATCTAAAGCTTTCGCTCTATCTCTCTGTTTCCCTCTCCCTCTCTATCTCTATATCTCTGTCTTCTGCATACTGCTGCTGTATTACTTTCTCTTTTTACTTCTACCTATATATTTCTCTCTCTCTCTATCCCTGACTTGTACTTACTCCTTCTATGTTCCTTTTACTTTCTACATCTAGCTTGAGGTTTCACTCTATCTGTTTCCATATTTCTCTCTCTCTGTCTTTTTGTTCTTCATATGTCTTATGTTAACTCTCTTAATGTTACGATCTATCTCTCTCTCTCTCTCTCTCTCTCTATCTATTTGTCTTACATCTATTCCAACAGTATATTTTCTGTTAACTGTTAACTGCGTCTTTCTTTTATGTTTCATTCCTGCGTTCCTAACCTTAACTTTGCCAATTATGTGCTACTCCTATGAACGTAGACTACAAATATTCAAATAAAATATACTTGTTGATGCCAGTGCCCTGTCGCTCTCATACTGAACCGCCCGTTCCGTTCGAAATTAGCATAAGCATGCTCTTACTCTAATCCCATGCCTAACCCCAAATAAAAGAAGAAAATCTCAAGCAGCCTACATACATCGTACCATTTAAGACATTTAACGACCAGTAGACAAGTTATCCAATGTTTTGTTTTATCATCAGGCTGGGCGTATTTATTTCCACCCAATCGCCGTTCGATCCACCCGTTCCCTTTGAGACTCTAAACCTCTCAACGAATCCACATAACAACTTTCGTCTTCATTTGATTTTGGTTAAATTCTTTCTAAACTTATATCCATGATATTTTTTGGACACACACACACACATATATATACACACTCGACACAGTTAAATGCATAGTGTTGTTTTTGAATAGTTCTTCTACTTAATCCCGCCCCACAACTCGTTAGAATCTATATATATATACAAACTTATGTATATTTATATATATATATATATATATATATAACCGATTCCCAGCTAATTTATGAACGACCATCTCACAAGTGCTAATTAGAACAAAAAAACTCGAACCCAAAAAAGATCACAAATCAAAATAATAATAAAAACAAATACTTTTATCTTTTCATATATATAATAAATTATTATCAATTAAAACTATAAAAGAAAAACAGTTCGTTTACCTGAGTTTGCTGCATACTCATTTCAAATTCAATTGCCATCGTTTCGTTTTGATTGAGTTCCATTTTGTTCCGGTGCAAACCAACGGTAAAGTGTATCATTTGCGTTCCGTTTTTACGTTTTGCTGTTTCGTTTGCCTTCCATTCGTTTCCCTTATGAAGAAAAACAAAAACAAAAACAAAAAGAAAATAATTCTTAATCCCAAACAATTGACCTTTTGGATGCAATCGTGAATCGATAATCGATGATCGAAACTAACCGTTAACCTGTTTGCCTGCTGCTGGCTGGCTGCTACGGCACTCGCAGCTGATTTTCGCTTTCCTTTTTGCTTTGCTTTTGCTTTTGCTTTGCTTTGCTTTGCTTGTGCATGCCGCCTGCCTCTGCTGCCAATGGTTCTGCTTTTGCTTCTGCTTCTGCCTGTTCATGCGCTTGCGTAGCATTTAGCTTTTGTTTGAGTTACTGTTACTGTTTCTGTTTCGTTTCCGTTTCCGTTTCGTTGCGTTTCGTTGCGTTGAATGTTAGTTCCACCCACACACGATTACCCACACACACACACACACGCGCAAAAGAATACACGTACACAAAACAATAAATAAATTGAAACTGAGAGAAAAAAAAAAAACAAATATTTGTTAATTTAATATTATTTCATATATATGCATATTATCCGATACATGATTATTACGTACTATCCACAAATCGAACTGTGTGACAAGAGAATTAAATAAATACAATTCTTTGTTTCTCTACCGATTTGTTCCCTTTTCATTTGCATTTCGTTTCGTTTCGTTCCACTTTTGCGTTTCATGCCGCACTCTTTTGTGACGGTTAAGCCGAAAGTAAAAATATATTTAAAAAAAAAATAAGAAGCTGAAGAAGAGAAATCCCATGCAATTGTTCGGTTCGAGTCAAGCTAAACTTTTCATATTCTTGTACACAAATAATTTCAGTTCTTCGTGCGTTTGGATCACATACGCAAATGCTTTACACAGAAGGGCGGCATTTTCGTATTGGAGGAGTACAGTAAGTGCCCGACAAACAGTGTTCCATAATCGTTTACGTATTCAATGCTCTGTTCCAATTTCCATTTGTTCCACCCTCGCTTACTTACAGATCCGAAGACGCGCAATCTCATCCAGCGAAAATATCAGTCTAGCATGGTAAGTGCTCTATGCGTACAGCCCCAAATGCCTCGCACTGCACCACATGCATTCGCACAGCACCACAATTATTTTCAAAAGATTTTGGTTGATTTTCATTTTGAAAACTTTTGCAAATTTGTTGTATACAAAATGGAATTGAAACAGCACCTTTTTTGCCACTTGAATCACATCATGCGTATGCATACGTTTGTATATAAATATATATACTTTCCCTTTTTTGTTTTGGTTTTTTTTTTTTTTTTTTTTGTAAATACCATCACAATAATATAATATAAATATATATAAATATATAACTATGTTTGATTTGCCTTACCTTTTTCTATTCGTTTCGTTTCGTTCTTTGCTGCCACTTTCGTTTCGTTACCTTGTCAACATTTCTATGTACCAACAACAACAACAACAACAACTACTACAACAAATTAACAACAACAACAACATCAACATGCCTGCAACCATCTCCACCAACTAACACAATCACTTCACATCACACATCAATCAATCAATCAATCATTGCATTCAACATAAAAAAAAAACACGCTAAAAAACCCGTGAATGAAACGTGAAACTGAAACCAAAAAAAAATAAATCTAATTAAAATGTGACAAAAAGGCATCGGAAATTGTGCTCAGCTTTCATCGTGTGACGTCCGTGCGTTTCGCCTACGTATGTCATCTGAACGGCAAGGAGCAGGCGTCAGCATTACCGGAGAGCACGGGCACTGAAACGTTGGCATTGGAACACGACCTCAACGCGACAGCGGCAATCAATTCCAATGTTCCCCATGAAAATGTGCTTTAAACAAAATTTAAATAGTAAAAAGCAAAAAAAAAAAAAAAAAAGAGTAACTTCTTTTTTGTAAATAAAATTTTCACACAAACTGTTTATTTTATTTTCTCTTTTGTTTATACCCTGTTCACAAAGCGCAGTAGAGCATATGGGTGGCGTGCACTGTTCGTCCGACTTGAAATACCAAAATCTGCCACAATCCTGAATTTGTAATCTTCCAATGTTGCAGGCAGACTTCTCAAGACCTTATTTACAGTTTGAGCTTAAGTTGGTGCTTAAGAAGGTTTCTAGATGTGTTTTTTTTATTCGATTACGATCTCAGCTCTGGGCCCTATTCAAATAGTCTAGAGATTGCTGGGATACTTCATAATCTGATCGTCTGTTTTATGTCAAAAAGGGTGCAAAAGGTTGAAAGATTCAGGAAGCAACTGTGAACAGAGTATTGCGCAGTCGGTTGCATTCGACTGCAATGTATGTGTGTGTGTATGTGTGTCTGTGCTTCCAACAACAAGAACAACACTCACAAAAGCAACAACAACATGTAAGAAAAAAAACATCGTTCACTTCATAAGCGCAATTTGTACAAATGTCATGTTTTCGGTTAGTTTCCTTGAAATTTTATTTTTCTTTTGTTCCATTCCATTGTTCCAGTTGCATGCTATTTATGATTTTGGTTAGTTTGTGCGTTCGTTGGTTCGTTGCTCGATGTGATTAATTCACCGCAAAATAACCCACCACACACGATCACAACCACCTCCACCTCCACCACACGTCACCAACTGTTAACCAACACACAGCCACACACAGTTATTCAGCTATTGCCCAACACTAACGTACGTGTAATTGCCTTGGTGATCCCGTCATGCAGTCGGATCAGATATGCTACTCGGTGCTGTGCGTCTTCAGCTATGTGGCCGCCGGACAGGATCAGAAAAAGAATCCGGTGGTGATAACGCCGCAAATACAGGATATTCATGCGCAGCAAAAGCAGAAGCATCAGCAGAAAGCCAGTGTTAACAACGCGCCAACAGCAACAGCTGCACCAACAACAACAACAACAGCCGCAGCAACAGCAACAACAGCTGCGCCTGCAAGGCAAAGCGCCGGCAACAAGCCTGGCAACGTAACCATAAGGCACACGGTGCCCATCCAGAAGCCCACCATAACCATGTCGACGGTGCAACCGAATGCGAAGCTCCCTCAGCTACCGCCGCGTGTCCAAACACAGCCATCGCAGGAGAGCAGCAGCTGCAGCTCATCGCCAACGGCCAAGCTGCGGCACGGACAGCCGCCCGGACCGCCGCCGGCGATACCGCCGCGAACCGGCGCCATTGCGCGCGCCGGTTCAATGCAGTCGCCGCCGAGCCGGCATTTTGTGCGTCAGGCATCGGCGAATTCAACGCCGCCGCAATATACGCCACAGCCGCCGCCCCCATTTGTCATACCCAAGCGTTTGGCGCGCGCCTCCACGCTGACAGCAGCCCCACATCACATGCAGCACGCGCAGCTGTCCCAATCCCAAACCCAATCCCATTCGCAATCCCAGCAGCAGCAATCGCAGTCACAGCAGCGCGCCAGCTACGGCAGCGTCGCCGCTGCGCTGCAGTCATTGCCTGAGGGCAGCGTCGGGCACGTAGCCAGCGCTGGCTCCAACGCCAATTCGAATTCCAACTCTAGCATCAGCCCCATTTCCAGCACTGGCCACGTAGCGGGCGCATCGCCTCAGTCGCATCGCAAGCACTGACGAAGGAGTTCCTTCTTCAAGTTTAGTTCAGGTGGGGGCGGAGGCGGGGGCGGCCCCAATGGCGAGGAGCCGCATCCGCAGCCGCACAGACGCGACGTCTGTCGCACCATTTGCATACCCTGGCTATGAGCGAAGCTCTAAGGATATCCTTGCAGCCCGTTAAGTCTAGACTAATTTCAGGCTAACCATCGTTAACCCTTCATCCATTGGAGTTTAGCTTTATAATTTTCTGAATATACTAGATATTCCATATAATTTACAATCTAAAGAAGCTTCCCAGTCTCGACCTCAGCTCTATAATACTTATGATCCGTTCACTTCTTATATTGCTTAAATACTAGATATTGCTATTAAAATGTTCTTCCAACATTTCCGTTTTCCTCTTTTGCATTTTTCCAGAAATCACAGCTCTATAAGATAGTTCACTATCTAGAATTCGTTAGTTCTCTATCTAGAATTCGAGTTCTTTACGCGTCCAGCTTTATGGAGTTTTTGAATAGAGATTGCTTTAAGCTTTCGTTACAATCACACACTCGCAAAAATACCTCTGAATATTCCAGATATATTAATTCGATAATTCGTCTACTAACTAACTGTTCCATGGACTTATAGAGAGCCACAGATAACTCTATCTGATCTTTTAGTAATGCTGCCAGGTTTTCAATCATTTTTTTAAGCAAGTTTCCCAGCTATCAAAAAACTCTGCTCTTCCAAACTCAAAACTCTACTGCATTTCTCTGCGAACCTTCATTTCGCTCTCTAGCATAGTTACAAATACTTAGATAATATATTTTTGCTTTTATCTGGTAAAGTTTCTCCAAAGAAATACAGTTCACTTTGGGTTCTGTTTTTCCCCTAAGCAGAATAAATTCCTAATGCTTTATACGAGACACGATCCGATCCGATTCGATTCGATCGCAACCCTCGCTTGTTCCTATGACAGCTGTTTAGGATTAGGTCTGTCGATTTGCTAGGCACGAGTTATATAATATACTATATATATATATATGTGTACGATTACTCGAGCATACAATTGTTATCTATATATGAATACTTGTTACTGCAAGGGTATTTGCTAGTCTAGTCTAAAAAGTATTGTTCTCTGCATGGTAAAAAAAAAAAGAAAATGTTCATATAACACATGCTATATATGATACGATATATATACATACATATATATATATAACTACGATATTTTATGTTACCCAATGCTAGCCTAGACGCATCATATCATTAGCTCACACACGCACACACTCACACACACATACATACATATACCACATTTAACTAGAGGATTACGATATATAGGAGAGTAACAGGCGATGTATATAGATGGATTATATATCGAATATGGGCACAAAATTAAACAAGAAAAAACAACACAAAAAGGTAATTGAAGGCAATCTAGATAGGGAAATGTAACATACCAAATATGATAGATACCATAAAACCTAAATGAAACCAAATTATTCCCAGGCTAATGTCAAGGAATTTAACTAGTTGTTAAACCAAAAATTTTTAAAAATTACCTACAAAAATATATATAAAACATAAACGAATTGAAAAGAACCAGATGCGACGCGCGCGGAATAATATATACTTATATATATATATATATATGTATATATATATATATAAATAAATATATATAGATATATATGTATATATATGTGAAGGTTTTTAGCTTAAGGAATTGTCAGGGAACATAACATAACAGCCAGCAGAGTTAACAGAGCTTTAACAGAGTTGAGCAGCAATATGTGGGTGTGCGCGTAACAGAGATTTAACAGAGTTCGGCATAGGTATATCTATATCTATATATATATATATACCATATATCGATAACTTATCCATACCTACGACTTACTGTCTATATATGGGGCATACAATAACTGCCCCAAGCATATATATACATATATATATTTTTTTTTGTTGTTGTTGGCTTTGGATGTTAACAGGAGCACAATATTATGCTAACCAAACGTTCATATATATGTATATACAAGAATATATATGACGTCTTATCCTACAAATAATATTACATATATCTATATAAAATTGTATTTTCCAAAGTTCAAAAACGTGTGCAAATAAACACAAAATACCACAACAAATTTTCGAAAGTTGTTTTATTGCGGTTCGTATTCGTATTTTGGTTCATCGCACATTAAGATTAATATCATTATCTATGTTCGGGGTCGGGGTTTTTTACCATACAAACATTGCCAGATAAGGCAGCAGCATTTTTATTTGTCCCAGTTTCAAAGTCTAAGGCCGGACGCTCGCCTGATCGCGCCCACTTCCAAGTGCGTCACGATGAGTTTGCCAAATTCGAATATTACTTAAAATAGGCTCGATTTACTGCTGAGCTTAACCCACCACCCCCTCCCATCACCAAGAAACAAACAATAACAACTTATCTCCGCTTATTTACAAGCTAAATGGGCCTAATTTTGGACTCCTTAGCCAGAAATCTCAAGAGACTTTATTTGATATGGTTTATGAATTGTTTGTGGCACCTGCATTTGGACGCCAGCTAGTAAAAAGCCCATCTGGCAATTGACTGAACTATCTGAACTTTGATATAAGAAGAAATGCGAGGCAGGTTGGTGAGAGAGAGAGAGAGAACGAGATAGAGGGAGGGGTATATGGAGCGCTTATCAATAGAGCTAATGGATCTCTGGTGCTAGAAGAGCGAGAGCTATATAACAGAGAGAGAGAGAGAGAGAGAGAGAGAGAGAGAGAAAAAGAGAAAGAGAGAGAATAAGAGGACAATAGTGCTTAACAATAGCAAGCACAGATCTCTGATGCTAGAAGAGTAAGAGCTATATGGAGATATCTCTATCCATACCATGATAAATAAAGATTTAGATAGAATCGGGTCTCTTAAACTAACTCGACATATACGAGAGCTATATAAACCAAACTTGTTAGGCAACTTTTCGAGTTAGACAAGATAAAATTTAGCAAATAGGTTCTCACAGATCACAAATATTTTACTATGAAGAAACCGTGTTCCAATTTGCCAATATATCCTTACATTTTCATAATATCGATAAATATCGATTGATACACGTGGTTTTTTAGACCACACTTGAGAATTGCGAGAGTTAAGCGATCAAAACTTGGTAAAGGAATATCTCACAAGGTAGATAATACGCGCCATATTCCAATATCTTCTACCATTTTCAGATAACCGATGATTATCGCTTGTTAGACATGCCTATTCAGTTATAACTCGAGACCTCCGAGAGCTAGAGCAGCTAAATTTGGTATGTGGACTACGAATATTTGATATTTTGTATACCATGCCACATTTTCCCTCGAATTGGAAAAGAAAACCGAAGAATTGCCGCCACATTTAGATCATATAATATGTATGTGTGGGCTTTTCACACGCTGAATTGAGATTAAGCTTTATTTGGGCTAAAAATATACAAGAGTTATGCATAAACAAAAAAAATAAAAAAAAAAGACATTTAAAGATTAAATACATGAAATACAAATAGAGCTATATTATATAAACGATACTTGGGTATGAGCTAGATTAGAGAGGATTAGAGGGGCGTGGCCGTATGCGCACCCGAATCCCATTGCCGCTCTTCATCACGAGCTCGGCGAGCGGCTGCGGCTGATGTTCGTCGACGGGCAGGAACTGATAATGCCGCAAGAGCATGGCCAGCGAGCACTTGAGCTCTAGCATGGCGAACTTTTGACCTGCAGATATCACATTTAATTTTCGCGTGTGAGAGGGGGGTGGGGGGTGGTTGGGGTCGACATACCTATGCAATTGCGCGGTCCAGCGCTGAAGGCGGCAAAGGCAAATGGATGCAGCTGATGTTCGTTGAGATAGAAGCGATCCGGATCGAAGCGTTCCGGCTCGGGAAAGCTGTCCGGATCACGATGCAGCATATACACCAGGCAGCTAATGGAGGCGCCCTTGGGCACCGTCACCTGGCCCACCTGCAGATCCTCGTGCACGTTGCGGGAAAAGAAGGGCACCGACGGATACAGACGCAGCGTCTCCTTGATGACCGCCTCCAGATACGGCATCGACTCCTTTTCTCTGCCCTCCAGTTCGAGCGCCTCCTCGTAGACGCGCTGCTGCACATCCGCGTGCTTGGACAGGAGACTGATGGCGAACGCAATTGCCGAGCTGGTCGTGTCGTGGCCCTCAAACATGAACGTGTCCACCTCCTCGCGTATGTCCACATCGCTCAGATCGCCGCCGCCCTCCATTTGCGAGAGCAGCAACATGTCCAGAAATGCCAGACGCCGCTTGCCCCCAATATCGTTATGCTCCTCCTCCTTCTCCTCCTTGCCGTTCTGCTTGTCCAGCTGCTGCTGCTGCAGCAGCTTGCGGCGCATGTTGATCACGCGATGCGTCTCCTCGTGCAGCACGCGCAACGCTGCATTTCGCTGGCGACCCGCCGCGGACAGATTGAAGAGCAAATTGAATCTCTGCCAGAAGGAGAAGCTCTGACGGTGCAGTATGCGGCAAATGCTAAAGCAGGGCCAGCGAAAACTTGGTCAGAATATTGGTTTCACTGGCAAAGTTCTTATTTTAAGCACATATTTCCTTTAACTTGTCACACAATATGAAATGGAAGAGCTGTTTTGCTTTCACTGGGAACGCTTTTGCTTATTTCAAGCCTGCATAGTTTTGTTTTAAGTTGCTTTTTGCTTTGTTTATATAAATTCGCAATGGCCAATGCCGAGACGAAGGCTCAATCTCGAAAACTTCAACAGCGGCGAATTGGAAATTTTAAATATACAGTCTTCTAAGCCATGCATAACTTTGTTATACAATGGCATCCGCCATTTGCACAATATCGATTAATATCGATTGTAGCACATGGATTTGCATATGGGCCCAACTCGAGAACTAGGAGAGCTAGAAAAGCTCAACTTGGTATTTGGGTATATTTGTATATTGTACGCACAGATTAAAAGTAATACAAATAGATTCAATGTTTTATGCCTTTTTCGGAAAACCGATAAATATCGATTTTGCGACATGGTTTTTTCGGCACAACTCGAGAACTATGAGAGCTAGAGCAGCTAAATTTGGCATGTTGGTCTACAAATAGTACACACAGCTTGTGAATATTTCATATTTTGGATGCCACGCCACATTTTCCCTAAAAATTTGTAGATATGTCAATTTGACAGCTCGAGTCTCGCGCCTTGAGAATGTCATAAGGATCGGACTACGATAAGCGAAGTTAATCAGGCATGCATTTTGCATATGCGTGGTATTTGCTAGTCGAGCATTTTTTGATTGTGCTCTATGTGATTTGCTTTGACTTACGTCTGAACGGCGCGCACATACTCCGAATCGCTCTGCATCTGGGCGTGCTTCTTGATGCCCATCGCCGTCTCGCAGATGGCATCGAGGGCAAAGAGCGTGATGTAGGGATAGATATCGAAGGGCTCGCCATCGGCGTGCTCGCGCAAACGACTGACCAAAATGCGGCAATTCTCCTCCATCGGCTCCTTAAACTCGCTGAGTATGCGAAAATGGAAGCCCGGCGTGAGGAGCTTGCGCCGGCGATGCCATGACTCGCCGCCGTTCGTAAGCAGGCCTTTGCCCAGCCAGGGCTCCAATAGCTGATAGTTGCGCGATTTGCTCAGCAGCGTATTGTTGCCGAGCAGCTGTTTAATGTCCTCGGGGGTCGTAAAGAACACCATCAGATCCTTGCCGAACCAAATGCGAAAAACTGGTCCATGCCGTGCGCGCAGCTCCTTCAGCCAGTTGAGTACCTCTGGCGTTTCATTGCATGCATTATATTTGTTTATTTCTCTCTGGCTCTCAACTTCAACTTACCGCCCTTTTTTACATTGGCTATAAGCTCGCCCACGCTGGGGCCGGGCAGCGTTCTGGAAAAGCGCTGCAGCTGCACAAACTTGAGTATGTGCGGCAAGTAGCGCAAGAAAAGCGCCCACAATGCAAATGCGAACAATGCCAAGGTATTCATTTTATGAAAAACAAATAACAACCACACGAGCTGTGCAGGTGTGTGTGTGTGTGTGTGTGTGTGTGTCCAACTTTCTGCACAGCTCAGTATTTATTTGTCTAGGTTTTTTATGATGTTGTTGACTTAAACAATGCGTAGCGCAGCACCGTTCGCTACTCGGCAACTAACTGAACTAAACTCATTTTAGAAATCAACGACAACACGAAACAATCGCCAGCTGCGAGCCAACCACGGAAGATTACATACTCTAACTAACACAAATTGAGCAGCAATAAAAAAAAAACATATATATATATATATAAGTATATATGGCACTAGCACTATAGTTATATAAGATGCAGCATAAAAGATTCTAGATGCACAAGATACAGATACATTTACAGGGTGGTACTTGTTTTCTAGCCTGTTAAA